TTAACAATCAACAAATTTCTGAACAAGGGGGAGGGTCTAAACTAAAGCTTTATAGGTTTCTTTTTCTCAGGAACAAAGGAAGCATAGATGGAATCTTACATTGTATATGGAATCTACTTTGTGTAACATTCAGGTAGTTTCTCACACATTAGCTCCATTTCTCATGGGAATACAATAAAGGCAGTTTTTACTTTTATACAATGTTTCTAAATATGCATTAGGTCATTCACGTACTGTTAATACAGCTTTTGCTAACACAGCTTTCTTTTCAGAGATTATGCAGACACATGATTTTTGCTTTTAGTGATTTTTCATTATTATTATTATTATTATTATTATTATTATTATTATTATTATTATTATACTTTATTCTTCTTTATTCTATGTTATTCTATTTCTTTCCCACATTACTGTTAAGTCCTGCACGCGATGGCAAATGAAGAAGACTCATTTCTAGTGAACAGTTCTTTATTTGCATTTAGTCAAAACTCCAACAATGAGCAAAGGCATGCAGGTCTCCTTTTATACGTCCCAAATCCCCGGACATAATGGCAACATTTCTAGGCAATTTTGCACCTTGCGCATGCGCGCTAGGCCGGCACCACTCATTCTGGTCCCAGGCAGCATTTCCAATTGCCCGGGAACCTTGCAATGTCCCGAGCCTGCATTTGCAGGCTCTGGACACAACAAATACCTTCATTTGCAGGACAGACGGCCATTTGACGGTCACTTCCGGTTCTGAATGCAGTTTGTAACATCATATGTTCTTTGAGTTTTGGACGTCAATTTGCTCCTGGAGATGAAAACTTCCACAAACTAACTCAAGCCCTTGAAACGCTTGTGAATTTCACTGGTAACTTTCCCCATATTGTGAGTCATGTTTTCTACTAAGGAGACAAAGTTCCCCCACCACTTATGTTTCCATCTGATTTAATGCTTGAGTTGGGACTAGAACACAGTGTACCTCAGTTTTGGAATGGGACAATTGAACAGGGCTGCCTTAATATGCCCACTTCATTGAAATAATCAAAAATACGTGTAGCTCAGGCTTTAGATTTTGGCAGAAACCCCTTTTTTTCCCACATAGAGTTGGTGGGACAAACAGGAAGGCGATTGAAGACAAGGGTTCACGAACATCGACTTGCAATTAAACAGCATGACCCAAAATCCCTGATCTCAAGCCACATTGATAATAAAAAAATAGCAGTTTGACTGGGAAGGAACAAAAATCATTGGGCATACCAACACCTGCCACACACGTGAATTTAATGAAGCCTGGTATTCTACCAAAGGAGCAATTAACAAGCATATTGATCTAGATCCAGCATACGAATAAGAAAACAGACCATTTGAATGATCAATCAACAAGAGAACCAAACAGCTGCTCAGAATTTAAATATAGCTCCAAAGGAACAGCTAATCACATGACTAGCTGACCACACTGGCACATAAGACATTTATAAGCTAAGGAGAATAGGACAAGAAAATCCTGTTGATGATATTACCTAGTCTGGTGATGAAACATTCAAAAATTAAATTGAAACAAGCTTGGAGAGCAAACCACGCCCACTCCATCTCAGGCACTCCACCACAGCTGAACCAACATGTGCATTCTTTTTTTTTAAAAAAAAAAGTTTTAATTTTTTTCCATACATACAATAATAATTTTTCAACCAACGTGCTGTCTGAGTTTACATTCACTAATACATATTTAATTCCTAATCCTTTATTCTTTCCTCTAGCCCAGGGGTAGGCAACCTTGTCTCTTTTATGACTGGTGGACTTCAACTCCCAGAATTCCTGAGCCAGCATGGGGGAACTATGGCCCCTTCATGACTCGTGGACTTCAACTCCCAGAATTCCTGAGCCAGCATGGCTCAGCTTAGAAACCTCTTCCTTTCCCCTCAGCATGGCTGGCTCAGGAATTCTGGGAGTTGAAGTCCACGAGTCACAAAAGAGACAAAGTTGCCTACCCCTGCTCTAGCCATCGATCAAATAAGTCCCAAGTTTGATAATATTCTGTTTCTTCTTTTTCTTTCAGTCTCATAGTCAATCTGTCCATCTCTGTGCATTCTAGTATTTTTTTTTATTATTTCTTCATCTGATGGTATTCCTTCATTTTTCCAGTATTGCACAAATATAATTCTTGCTGCTGTTGTGACATGCAAAATCAAATATAGGCTTTGTTTGTTAGTCTCTTCTGGCATTATATCTAATAGACAAAGTTCAGGTTTAAAATCTACATGTTCTCCCAATATCTTTTCTAGCCAAGTATGTATCGTTTTCCAATAATTCTTTTCTTTATCACATGTCCACCAAACATGATAATATATATATAATATTTTGGTGTAAAGTGGATTAAGCAATATTTCTTTTGCTTGTCTCATGCCTGTAAATCAGTGGTTCTCAACCTTTTTAATGCTGCGACCCCCAACCGGTTGTAAGTCGAGGACTACTCAACCGGTCGTAAGTCGAGGACTACTCAACTGGTGCAGCACCGTTTGCAGAATGGGACTTTTGGCGGGCTCAGCAGGGTAGAGACAGCCTGAACAATTCCTATTGGCTTTTGAAAGCCAATAGAATTAGACTCTATTCAAGAGAGTCTATTCTATTGGCTTTCAAAAGCCAATAGAATAAAAGGGAGTAGCACAGCTAAGAAAAAGGGGAAAAAATGGCAGACTGCGTTGTTTGGCGACCCCCATGAAATGGTCGTTCGACCCCAAATGGGGTCCCGACCCACAGGTTGAGAACCACTGCTGTAAATCCTTTTGTTTACTATATCTTACTCTTTTTTCCCTGTGCTATACATAATATTACCATAAAATGGAAGAGTTTGATGGTTATTCAGGTAGAATTTCTTACTGTTTGCACTTACCCCTTCCTTTCCCTAAATTATTCAAGAAAGCATCCTCTGCCTGATGCGAGCATTCTGGGAAGCTGGTCATTCCTTCTTTCACCACTTTGAATCCAGACAGCACCATTCTAAGGTGTTGCCCATGCCACAAACTGTATATATTTCCATATTGTTTTACAGGCTGTCAAGTGAATCTAAGACGAGAAATCAAACACACTGATGATTCCCATTTAATATTGTGTGCCATCTACAGGTGTTCCTAAATCCTGAATTCTAAGACTTTTCACCATATGCAATTCTCTGCTCTTTAGAATTCTTTTTTTCCCCTCTCTAAGGTTCTTGCCAAGAATTTATTTCTGATTTTCTAAATTATTTTTCTAAGAATGGACATGTTTTTAATTTTTGTTTTTGTTTTGTCTATTTAATTTACTTATTCAATTTCTACAGCCCCATCTCACCTAAGTGACTTCCACGTTTTGTTTGGAAGACAGTCATGAACAACATTTTCAGCTCATAAACTGATGTTTTGTTTCATTTTTGTTCCGCTCTGTGTCACTGTTCCTTGGAGATACCCCTAGTTTAAGTAAAACCCGATTGCATTAGGGATGATAGCAGCTTTAGAGAGCCTTTGATGCCACCTGGAGCAGTGGTTCTCAACCTTTTTAATGCCGTTACCCCCAACCGGTCGTAAGTCGAGGACTACTCAACTGGTGCAGCACCGTTTGCAGAATGGGACTTTTGGCAGGCTCAGCAGGGCAGAGACAGCCTGGACAATTCCTGTTGGTTTTTGAAAGCCAATAGAATTAGACTCTATTCAAGAGAGTCAATTCTATTGGCTTTCAAAAGCCAATAGAATAAAAGAGAGTAGCACAGCTAAGGAAAAGGGGGAAAAATGGTGGACTGCGTTGTTTGGCGATCCCCATGAAATGGTCGTTCGACCCCAAATGGGGTCCTGACCCACAGGTTGAGAACCACTGACCTGGAGGCTTATCTGGGTCATCAGGGTCACCTGAGTAGTGCAAGTGTGTGTGGAGCTGTCTTGGAACTGTTCAAAGGACTGTGTTGTATATTGGAAATAGATGATGTTGCATCCCTCCCCCTCTGTTGAGAAAGGGTTGTTCAGTTTTGACATAGATGGCCTCTTTGACCTCTCTTTCAAACCAGTAGTCCTCTCTGTCCAAAATATGAAGTTGCTGTCTTCAAAAGAGTGGCCTTTGTTTTTTAAATGCAATGGACTGCTGAATCTTGTCCTGATGGGTTTGTTCTTCTGTATTAAGCCTCCACTTAATGTATTCTTAAATTTAAAGTGTGCATATATGTTGTGTTGGCTGAAGATCCTCCTAACCTTTTCTGATACTCCTGCAATATATGGAATGACTACATTGCTTCGTTTATTGTTTTTTTCCTTGCCTGCTGTGGAGGAGTTCCTGCTCGGTCTTTTTTGGGATTGGATAATTTATTACTGGTTGAATATTTAGAATGAAAAACTTTAAGGAAAGTATCTTCACAAAGCCCAAACCTGTCAGTTTTTTCTCTTTGATGCTTTCCAGTCAATTTGGAGGTGGTTGTTCCTTTTAATCTGATGCCTTTTACTTATCTTCCTGGTTTTCTGTATTCCATTGCTAGGAAACTAATAGCAACATGTCTTTTGAGGCTCTGATGGATTAGCGCTGGTGCATTGTCAGCCAGGTATTACCTCATTCATTCACATATTTCTGACTGCGTGCTACTTAGTGAGGTAAGTTAGCCCAGAGAAGGAAATATTAAAAGGGGCAGAAAAATATATTTTTCCTCAAAAGGACCTTTTTAAAACCAAACCTGGCCCCAAGTCTATCTCTCTGCCCCAAGCAAGACTTTAGCCCCATACAAATGCAGATGTAAAACCATCAGAGTTGAAGCCAGAGCACTGAAGAAGACAAAGAGAAGATCTGCATGCCCCACCCAAACTCTAGGAGTCATTAGCCCCCTCACCTGGGAAGCAGGATATGATAATAGGATTAAACCACAGATATCAAGGCCTAGACAAACACTCAGAAACAGCCTCAAGGTTCATGCCACAGGAACAGGAAACTATTCCAAACAAAGCTAGAGAGGGTATAAAAACCTACTGCCCATGTGCTCAACTCCTCTTTCCTCTCCTCTGCTCTTTCCTGCAAGGACCATCTTTCTGCTTCTTCAATAAACTTAACCTTCTTCCCAAAGCAGTCGCCATGTTGCTTATTTTTTCCCGGCTTGGATGAACCAGGATGAAGACTTACTTCTGACATTAGGAAGAGGTGATGTCGTGAGTATGACATGCCTGCTCTATGGGGTCTAATGATGACTCAGAGTTGGGCAATTATCCTTGCCAAGCATGGATCATTCTCAGATGTGTGCCTGGATTAGGCAGGTGGGTTGATGACATGGAGAAAGTACTTATGTACTCTTATAATTTTCTCCCAGTAATTTAATACTTGGATTAAGCACACACCTAAGAAGAGCTAATGAAGAATTCTGTAATGATTTTAATAACTTTTTGGATCTGAGTTCTGAAGGGTTGCATCTGTTTTAAGTAATGATTCATATGTTGCTGGTTGGCAAAGAAAGCAATAGAACAGGTTTGGCTGTGTCTTAATAGCTGCTTGGTATGTATGCTGGTTTTCTTCTGGATGAAATTTGAGGTGTTAGTTATCACTTTGAAAGCAATTCAGGCAATGCTTCCAGGCTCCATAAAGAACTATATCATCCCAATGAGTTTGGCCCACCCTAGCTGTGCTGGTAGAAAGGCCATGTTGGTGAGGGATTACTCTACACCTGAAGGTAAGATCTGCAGCCTGCACTGACCTTCCATAAGGGCCTAGAGACCTGGCTCTGCCAGATGGCCTGTGGGCTGCAGTACAGTAAAGTGGCTATCAGATTAAGAGAAACTCCACCTCTCCCCATGCACTTAACAGAATAACAGAACTGGAAAGGAACTTGAAGGTTTTCTTGTTCAATCCCTGTTCAAGCAGGAAACTGTGTAGTATTTCAGTCAGTTAAAAAAAATCATAACATTCAGATTGTGCTAGCAAATTCTTTTTAAATAATTTTGAACGGTAAGATTATTTTGGGATGCTATAATAACAGACGAACATCAAGATTATATATTTGGGGGCTTCTGCTTGGGACCTTGCTGTGATGCAGATGCAGGAAGACGGATTCCGTCTTTCGCGTCCATTGAGGGACCCTGGAAAGGGTCAAAAGCCACCCCTTAGAGGCAGCAAGCAAGGAGGGGACTCTTGTTGATCGTGGGGAGTAGCAACCCCCCGTTTGATCTGAGGAAGCCCTCCAAACCAGCGGAGGAAAGACTGGCTGCATTCATGTAGCCAGTCCTAAGCTGCGGACAACAGAAGTGAACAAGCACTACCAAGCAACTTTACAGCAACGTGGATGAAGCTGGATGAGACCTGATCCTTTCTTTATGATTTTAATACCTCTTCCTGAAAATGTGCCCAAAGCACTTCCCCCGATGAAAGAGGGAAAGGGAAATTTTGCCCCACTCCCTCAGAAAAGAAAAGCAGTGAATTAATACTTGGGAATACTGGAGAAACCTATAAGACTTATCTGGAATTAAAATATACTTACAGCTTGAAAATTTGGGGAGTAAAAGTGTTTTTAAGACCTTTTTATTTATTTATTTTTATTTTTAAAGAAAAAGATTTGAAAAGTTTAACAATATAAGTTTTGGAACTAAAACCTGGAAAGTGGTGTTGATGACATCTAATGGGGAATCATGACACTACAACTTATTTATGCCTAAAAGAAACCTGGCTTAAAGCCCAGAATTAGATAAGACTTTGGCTGGCCTTTGATCTATCAATATTTTGTTATTGAGAATTATAGTAGAGGAAAAAGGAGCAGGCTTGAGGGCTGCTTATCTATGTAGAAGATATGATAAACATTTTAAATTTGGCCTGAACTCTGAACATAAATACTGACTCTTAGAATTTTGGATTTTTTTTTTTGTAGAAGAAATATATGGAACACTTTGAATTACAAATCTTGATTGTTAAACAACCCTCAATGATTCTTCTTTCTCCCTGGACAGAAAGGAAATATTTTTTACTGGACAGAGAAATGAACTTTACTTATATCTGCTTAGGGGAGATTCAGGAACGAACAGATGGTTGGATAAATCTATAAAAGCTACTTACAAAAATAATAAAATAAAATAATGAAATACTAAAATAAAATGGATGTTTCATACTCAGCAGTAAATAGTAAAACATCATCTTTAACATCTGTTCCCAGCAGCCTCAACTTGCCATATCACCAAGAAAATACTGACAAAACACAGAAAGAAATTCTCTCCATGTTGAAATTAATACAAAAAACAATGATTTGGTGGCTAAAAGTGCTTTTGAGACTTCTTTTTTTTTTAAAAAAAGAAACTTGAAAATATAGGTTTGGATTTAAAAAGCTGGAAAATGGCGCTAATGACGTCTACTGGCAAATTACGGCACTACAATTTGTTATGCCTAAGGGAAACTTGCCTTGAAGCCTAGATTCAGGTAAGACTCTTGCTGGCCTTGGAAGCTTTCACTTTTGAAGACTGCAGCTGGAAAAATGGGGAAAAAGTCTTGGGCTGCTTATCTATGTGGCAGCAATGATAAACTACTTTGAAATTGGCCTGCCTGAACTATGAACATAAATATTAACTGACTTTCAGAACTATGTTATGGAACTATTTCCCTGCAGTAGAAACACATATCATTGCTTGAGATGATGGAATACTTTGGATTATAAATCTTTGATTGATGAACAATTTTTACTATAAAGACTGCCTACAAAAAAATAAAATGGATGTCCCATATTCAGCTTTAAATGGTTAAAAAATCATCTCTAAAACCTGTCCCTAAAGTCTTCAGCTTGACATACCATCAAGAAAATACTGATGAAGCTCAGAAAAAAATTCTTTTCATGTTGAAAACGATACAAGAGACAATTGCCTTAGCCCATGCTGAGATGAGAAATAACACAAAGGAGACAAAAGAACAATTTTCTAATCCAAATTAAAAACCCAGAAAATGACTACAAAGAAGGAATTAGCAATCCAGAAAATAGAAGGAAACAGATCCAAAGATGGAGGACCTAAACAAAGGAACTAACAGACAGACTCAGACAATTGAGGAACTACAAGATGTAGCGATAATATTGGAAATGGAAAAGATCTTACCAATTAAGATCTCAAAACACACTTGAGGAAAAGAAAGAACTGATTAACTGGAAGATAGAGCTGTTAGGAGAACTGTGGGGAACTGGAGAAGGAGGGAGGCTGTTTAATGAATATCAATGGACTGAAAAAATAGAGGAAGAACTATTTGAGGACTCAAATGCATTGACTTGGAAATTTAGTTGGCAAAGGAAGAAAGCTACAGTAAGACTGAAGAAAATAGAGGTTTTGACATTAGATGGGATATTATATTATTAATTAGACGTTTGAATATGGTGGAGAATAGATAATTGTTAGAAATAGAAATATTATTATAACTAGTGTCATGGTTCTGATAGATGAAACCATTTAAAAGAACTGCAAGGCAAAGATTTCTTCCTTAAAGAACATTTTATTCAGGAAACAAAGTATTGGCACTTACATAGTTGAACTCAAGACTAAAGTTCCCTTACCCCTGCTACAAAGTAACAAGTTGCAATTTTCACCCCAGAAATACTGTCATAAATCACATTCACTAATTAATCTAAAACGCGGGCTCTCCTCCCAACTTTTCAGACTGCCAAAACTTTATCTAGAATTGACCTTGATGCTCATACAGCTTCAACTATTATGGCTAACTAAACCAGCTCAAGTATTCCCTCTTCCCCCTCCTTCCTCATCTGAACTACCAAACAACAGAAAAAAAAACATAATGAAAGCAAAAGATGAAAATGGCTACAGTTTCTCAGTTGTCGCAACGCTGACAACTAGAAAGATAAGATTTGCAATTAGAATATCAGATTTTGGTATGAGAAGGGAAACAGGAAAAAGCTAAGAAGTTTGAATATGGGAAGCTTTTGGTTACCTAAATATAACTTACTTTGATATTATAAACAATAGAGACATTTTGAACACCGATGGAAAATTAAAATAAAAAAAAGCGAAAACAGGATACTGATTGAATGTCAACACTGTGACAAACCGAACTGAAGCCATTTTCATTTTGTCCTCATTGGCATATTTTAGTTTAGAGATTTTAAATGGGGTGGTGGTGTAGTTCTCAGTTAGCCAAAACAATTCATATGTGTGAGAACCAAGGTCAGTGCTGATAATGTTTTGGCAGGCTGGAGAGCTGGGAGGAGAGCCTGCATTTTGTAACAATTGGTGAATTGTTATTAACTTTGTAACCAGGAGGAGGGGATTTTAGTCTTGGGTTCACCTATGTACGTGCCAATAGTTTCTTTCCTAAATAAAATGTTATCTAAGGAAGATATTTTTTCCTTGAAGTTCTTTTAACTGGTTTTCAACTATTGGAACCATGACATTGAATATATGGATATTAAGTGCAAATACAATTAAGATATGTTTTGATTAGAAAACATATCTTAAACTGACATTATTGATATTATTAGAAAAATGTAACAAAGGTGTTGATATGCAATTGTATATATATATTAATAATAATAATTGTATTTGCCTAGTATGGGAAAACAGATATCACCAGAAGAAGAGAGGAAACATCAGATGGTGTAATATTGGATCTAGACTGAAGAAGTTAATATATATCAGTGAATTACTGATGGACCCAGACTGCACATTGTTTATTATTTGATTGTAAATCTAGAAAATTAATAAAATATTTATATAAAAAAAGATTATATCCTTGGAAGGAAGTACCATTAGGCTTTTACTTAAACTAATACAATTCCAAGCAACAATTACACAGAGCAGAACAAAAAGAAGGAGGAGGGATGAACAGTTTATGACTTGGGGATGTTGTTCATGACTGTCCTCCAAGAAAGACATGTACATTATTTGCTTTAGGTTTTCTATCTTTCTCTGGAGCCAGAAAAATTGGCTCTGTCACACTTTCTGGCTCCTGGTGAGCAAACTGTAAATGGTAGCACCAAGAGCAAGACAGGTTCACCAAGGGTGCATTTGTCCTCTATTGAAGATGGACTCTTTCTCTAGAGAATGTTGTAAGGCTCCTTATAGTCTGAAGGGGGAATTACTAGATTCTTTTTGATTTTGGGCAACTATTGACTAACACCGCTCCCCTTCGTAATATCTGCATAAGTCATCTTTCTCAAGGAAGTTGGTCATTTTTTAAAAAACTACTTTCCCAATAGTTTGTATGGAGCTAGTGCTGTTCTTATAGTCAATCTTAATTCAAGTTATAAGCCATCAGATGAAGGGAACAAACAGATGGTAGATAGTGGATTTCAACCAGAAACATAGAAAAAGGGACATCCCAGGAAAATAAAGAAAAGTAGATAAAGAAGTTCTTGGCAGGAATCTTAGAAAAAATAAGTTTCTAAAGAGTTGAGAATTGCCTATGGTGAAATGTGCTAAAATTTAGGTTTTAGGAAAGACTCTAGGTGGCATATCATCTGTAAATAATCTGTTTATTTTATTGAAATGTATCTCATCTTTGATTCATTTGGCAGCATGTAAAATAATATGGAAATATATACTCCATGTGGCTTCGACCTTACCTTGTAGTTGTGCTGTCTGGATTTAAAACTGTGAAAGAAGGAATGACCAGCTTCCCAGAAAATTCTCTGACCTACTAGATGATCCTTTCTTTGATATTTTAGGGAAAGAAAAGGGTAAGTGCAAACAGTAAGAAATTGAACCTAAGTTATCAACAAATTTTTCCACTTTGTGGTAACATGATGCATAGAATTGTTGTAATCAACATCATCATATTTTTGTTTTTAACACCAAGTGCTGAAATGTTTGTGTGTAAGTTTGTGTGTGAGTGTGTGAGTATTTGTCAAAGACATAGCCCAACTTTTTCTAGACCATGTCATTCACTACCACGGCATGGTCTCAGCACTCATGTCAGACAGAAACACACAATTCCAATCTAGATTTTGGAAAGAACTTTTCCAGTTACTAAATGTCAAGGTCAACCTCTCCTCTCCTCACCATCCTTCCACGAATGGGGAGGCTGAAAAAACTAAACCAGCTCCTACACCTACACTTGAGATGCTACTGCATCTACAGCCAAGAAAACTGGCCATTGTAACTGCCATTCACTAGCTCCCTTTCACCCTTGCCAAGTTCCCATGAGAACAGACTTTGCAGGATAATGCAGGAAGAGGAAAGCAGCATAGAAAACAGAGGAGAGGGGCAAGATGGAAGGATGGGTGATGTAGGAGATGACCAAGCTGAGCCTAAGGGTGGGATCAAACATTTCATCAGTCATGAGTCCCTTCGTGCTCACAAGAGATCTAAGTCCAGCCCACCTTGAATTCTTTCTACTCCTACCTCACACTAATTTCCCTTAACCATTAGTGTTCAGATTTGCGTAGAGAAATCAAGCTTACAATAAATGTTTATACCCATTTGAACTATCTGGATCTCCTGATTTTCCTGGCAGTAGATAATTATTTTAGAAGCTTTTGCTGTTCTTTATATAAGTTATAGGCTTGCAAACACTGTCCCCATACCATATATGTCTCCCAGTGTTCATATGAATTCCAAAATGAATAAATATTTTTAAAGAAAAATTAATATAACCAGAATCTTACAAATGGCAGCATGTCACAAATGTTTGGTATTGCCAGCTAAGACATGTTACACCAATCATTTTTTTAACATGAATGTTAGCAGTAATCATTTATCACTGTCTGCTGATGCCCTCAGGAATTATTCTTTCTAATGGCCACATCTGGAAACAGCAGCAACACATTGCCATCACTTCTCTGAGGAAGCTGGGCCTGGGAAAGAAAAGCATTGAACATCAAATGGAAGACACAGCTCAGACATTGGTGGAGTTTTTTAGACAAAAAAAGGTCTGTAATTTGCAGTAATATAATGGTGCAAGTTCCTGAGTGCAGAAATCTTTTCCATTCTGATTATTTCAAATAAAAACACATTGATTTGATTTGATTCTTATTTTTTTTAAAAAAAAAACCTGATGAAGTTCCTAATTCTCTTCCTTCATCAGTGTCCCAAGTTTATTAGACAGGGGGCATAATAAGATGAACTGACTCTACTTCTACATTAGCAGACTCTTGCAGTTTGAAAGTACAAATCTCCCGCAGTTTCTTTTTACTGCCTGATAAGTTACATGGGATCCTTTCAAAGTTTCTTTCTCTGCCTGTTATTCAGTTGTGGCCTCCTGAACATTTCCTAGGCAGTGCTTCTTCCCCCACCTGTATTCCAAGGTCATTCTCACATTCTATTACATTACCTTAAAAGTCCTGTTCTTTACTATTAACAGGTTAACAGGAGAATCTGATTTCATTATAAAATACCTTCATTTGCAGGACAGCCATTTGACTCGTCACTTCTGGTACTAAATGCAGTTTGTAATGTCATTTGTGGACATCAGTTTGCTCCTGAAGATGAAAACTTCCAGAAACTAACTCAAGCCATTAGAATTCTGTTCAATTTCACTGGTGACTTTTATCATGTGGTGAGTCATATTTTCTACTAAAGAGATAATGCACCTCAAACAAATTATGTTTCCACCATGGAAACATAGTTCATGGAATCATAAAGTGTATGTCATGGAGGAAGCTCGGGAAATCATCTAGTATGTTTTTCTCCCCATGTATAAGTGTGCCCTTGTATCACTCTTGACCCCTGGTGATCGCCTAGACAATCCTTTGTGGTTTCCTTTTCAACATTTTGGAAGTGATTTACCATTGCCCATTCCCTTTTTATTTCTTTCTTTTCATTAGTTTTATTCATTTATAACATAAAATGTGAAAATGCAAATGCAAACAGTAGGGGACAACAGTAGAAAAAGGGAAAACAAAAAGGTGTGAAGAAAGGGAGGGGAAGAAACAAAAAGCATTGACTTCCGACTCTCTCTTTTGCAGTAAAATTAGACATTAATCAAATCTCAACTTTTACATTTTTATGTATCCATTGGCCATTTCTGTATTGGCAAATCAATCACCATTGCCCATTTCCTAGGGCTGAGAAAGAGTGCAATTGGTCCAAGGTAGCCCAGTTGACTTATAGCCTGAGTTGGGTCTGAATAATGAGGAATAAAGAGGAAGGATGATTTCTCTTGATTTTGATACTAGACTGCTGATCTACCCTAAGACTAGACAGGTAGTCTTTGATTTGCAACCATAATTGAACCCAGAATGTTGATCGTATGTCATTGTGGTTGGAAGTTGAGTCATCACATGACTGGACTCAATTGTACAACCGTTTTTATGAATTTCATTAAGAACATCGACATGGCCATTAAGTGAATCATTTGCTCATAAGTCTAAACCCAGCTTACCCAATGGGTGTTCTTTGCCGGAAAATGGCAAAAAATGTAAAACCATGATTTTGTGACTCTGAGGTGTTGCTACTGGTCATAAATGGAAGCCTGTTGCCAAGTACCCCAAATGCACTCATGTGACAATCGGGACGGTAGTTTATCTTTGAGAATAAGTCATAAGTAAGTTTTGTCAAGTCTGTTGTATCTTTGAATTGTTGTTAAGCAACCAGTTGTAAGTCGAGAATTACCTGTTTCAGGGAGTTGTATCAGGTTATTGGCTTATGGTAAGGTAATTATCCAATAAGAGTGATCCTTTTCATATATAACACATGCAATACAGGGAATACTGAGCTGCCTCAGACAGGCTTAGTTCCCAGTAATAATTGTATCATCTTGAAGAGGTGGAAGGTTTGGAAGAACAAAGGAAAGTATGCTTGGATTTTAGTGTGAAATAGAGAATTGTGCTTTTATTTAGTTGGCCAAGAGTTTGATCCTACTACCTGTCCAGTCATACCTGGAGCAGGAGAATTAGTTCCACTCTGAAACAAATCAGTTTATTTAGTCATTGATGATTTATATACCCACCCATCTCACAGAGGTGGCTCAGGGGTTTACAGGACTATAACAAACCCATCAGAAATAACTCCCCAAAACTGAAGGAGAAACAGTAATAATAATAATAATAGTAGTAGTAGTAAAGTTGGAAGGGACCTTGGAGGTCATCTAGTCCAACCCCTTGCTCAGGCAGGAAACCCTACGCCATTTCGGACAAATGGCTGTCCAGTCTCTTCTTAAAAACTTCCAGTGTTGGAGCATTTACTGCTTCTGGAGGCAGGCTGTTCCACTGATTAATTGTTCTCACTGTCAGGAAGTTTCTCCTTAGTTCTAGGTTGCTTTTCTCCTTGATTCGTTTCCACCTGTTGCTTCTTGTCCTGCCTTCAGATGGTTTGGAAAATAGCTTGATTCCCTCTTCTTTATGGCAGCCCTTGAGATATTGGAATTCTGCTATCATGTCCCCCCTTGTCCTTCTCTTCATTAAACTAGTAACCACCTTCACCATCAATAATTACAGAGTTCATTTACCCACCTGATCCAAATGTCTTTGGGAACAGTCGGGATTTCAATACTTTATAAAAAACTACCAGAGTTGGGGAGATCTGAATCTCTTTGATTAGGGATAGTCATTTTTGATCCAAAACACTATATTGTAGTGCTAAGTTAATGATATTAGATCACAAACTAGTATACTGGGAAAATTTACAGTTATTGTATTATGTAGTCTGGTATGTGAATCCATTTGGGCTAATTTGTTTCAGGGGGGATTTTGGGATCTGATACCATGTATTGTTTGCCATGTTTTAATGTATTTGTAATATTTTTGTTTGAATATTAAGTTCTGCTGTTGCTGTGAGTTGCTAAGAGTCTTCTGTATGTTGTGAAAAATGAATAATTTTCCTCCTCTTTTTTTAGATTTATGATTTATTCCTGTGGTTAATGAACTACCTCCCAGGCCCTCACAAGAAGGCCCTGGCTTCTGTGGATTTAATCCTTACCTTTGCAAAGCAGGAAATAGAGAAACACAAAGAATCTCACTGTCTGCAAGAGCCACAGGATTTCATTGATTACTATCTTCTTTGAATGGAAAAGGCATGGTTTTATTGTAGCTCAATACATGAGAAAGGAATCATCACATTCCTTGCTGTAGGTAAATAGAAGGAAATACTGATTCTGTCTTCCTTCTTCCTAGATTTTTTTTTTTCTTTTTCATTCAACTTCCATTCTGAATATAGCTCATGGTAAATTCAGGTTGCTTCTCTTGGAGGTTAATTCGGTCTGCGTCTTATTCCAAGCCAGTAGAGAAATCCAAGAAAAGGAAAGAAATTGTGGCAGGCTGCAGTTGGAAAGGAGATTTATTGGCCCAGTAACAGCAGTGACAACAGCAAACATTTCTGGGGCAGCTAGGAAATTGAGGTTATGAGTTAGCGAGTTTTTATATGTTTCTGAGTTTGTTTTAACTGGTGTTTTGGTATTTATGTGAAAATGTGTTCTTTCTATGTTCTTTAGGCTGGATATAGTATTTTAATTGTCATTGCAAGATTTTCTATTGTGGCATGTGGGATCATGACTCACCTTAAGGGCAAAGGGAAAATGTAAAACAAGTGTTTTGTTTTCCGGATGTTGTCCCCAATTCGGGTCTGAGCCTAGGTTCCGAATCCTATGAAGAACACCAGAGATGAAGTGCAGGTATTGTTTCTGTGTATTGAAGCGCTCCAAGAAAAAGGGTCCTGACTAGAAAATGTCAAGTAACCTTGAACAATAGAATTAAGAAAGCTTTATAAATTTTCACTAAAGCAGAAGGTGGAATAAGGTAGGATGTATAAAACTAATCATGTCTTTTTTTCCCTCTTTTTCTCCCAAAGAAAATGTCCATTATGTACCCTAATCTACAGCCGAAATGCTGGAGATGTGGATATTTGGATGCTACCTATTACCATATTTGGTGGACGTGTAAGCATATAAAAGCTTTTTGGATTAAGATATGGTGGAATATTCAAAGAATTTTTAAAAGGAGGGTAAAATTTACTCCGCAATTATTTTTACTAGGTATTGTTATTGACTGTGATGCTAAGGAGGTTATATTGATGTTAAATTTGATTACAGCCGCTAGGTTGTTAATAGGACAATATTGGAAGAAGGAATCTTTGCCTACTTTACAAGAATGGTTTCATAAAGTTTCGTATTTGGCAGAAATGGCAAAGATTTCGGCTTTCTTAAAGGAGCAATCTCAAGAAAAATTTTTTGCGGTATGGGAAAAATGGATAAATTTTATACAACATAATTTGGATATGGAAAAATATTATTTAGCCTTTTTATAATTTGTAATGATTGTTTTTTCTTTCTTTCTTTCTTCTTTTTCTTTTTTATATATATACATTTTTTACGTATTATTATTCATATATTTTTTTTTCTTTTTTTTTTTATATATATATGCTTTATTCTTCGTCTACTTTCTTCTTTCTTCTTTCTCTCTCTCTCTTCCTTTTTTATTTTTTTTTTTTTTTTAGTATATATTATTCATTTTAAAGTTTATGTTATGTATATTATTATTATATATATTATTACTGTGATTTTTATTATTATTATTAATTATTTTATAAATTGCAAATGTTATTTTTAAAATATTTGTTAAATAATCCTATATTCAGTTCTGGGAAGTCGGGGGGGGGTGGGGTGGTTGGGGAGGGGGGGGTGGATTCTTATTTGTAAAACTTTTGAAAAATTTCAATAAAAAAAAAAAAAAAACTAATCATGTAATAAACATTTTAGTAATGATCTAACCGTCATCCTATTGGTCTCTAGCCAACTTTATTCCTAAACCTTGGCTAATGAATGCTGCTGGAATTATGTCATACACATTGTATTTGCTCCAGGACATCCCTATTACTAACTTCTATCTGAGGTATGCAAGATGTCTAACTCTTTGTTATTGTCCACTAACCACCTAGAGCAGTGGTTCTCAACCTGTGGGTCGCAACCCCATTTGGGGTCGAACGACCATTTCACGGGGGTCGCCAAACAATGCAGTCCGCCATTTTTTTCCCCTTTTCCTTAGCTGTGCTACTCCCTCTTATTCTATTGGCTTTTGAAAGCCAATAGAATAAGCTCTCTTGAATAGAGTCTAATTCTATTGGCTTTCAAAAGCCAATAGGAATTGTCCAGGCTGTCTCTGCCCTGCTGAGCCCGCCAAAAGTCCCAGTCTGGAAACGGTGCTGCAAGTTGTCTGCAGCTAGCTGTTTAGGTGAGCTTTCTGGACATTTCCACCCCTCCTTGCTGAGCAATTAAATGTAAGTAAAAGAGGGCCAGGGGTGGGAGGTGGGAGGCCAGCGGGCGCAGGGAGGGTTGCTGGCGCGCGTGAGGCTCGGCAGGTGGCTTACCTCCCTTGGCTGGGCCAGCTGGCCTGCGCCCTCACTGCCATGTACGAGGGCCACCCAGGAGTGCCTGGGCCTGCCTGCTACCACACCAAATGTGCGGTGGCCAAGGTAAGGCCAGCGAGGCAGCAGCGGGCACAGGGAGGATAGCTGGCGCATGTAGGGCCTGGTGGGTGGTTTACCTCCCTCTGGCTGGGCCAGCTGGTGGCTCAGCCGGTGGTCGGCCTGCGCCGTCGCTGCCGCTTGCAATGGCTGCCCAGGGGCACCTGGGCCTGCCTGCTGCCGCAAGTTGTGGCAAAAAGCTTCCTCAAATCCTATTATAGAAAGTCCTCGACTTACAACGGTTCATTTAGTGACCATTTAAAATTACAACTTCATTGGGAAAAAAAGTGACTTAGGACCATTTTTTTCACATTTACGACCGTCGCAGCATCCCCAGGGTCACGTGATCAAAATTCAGGTGCTTGTCCACTGACTCATATTTATGATGGTCACAGCATCCTGGGGGGGGGCAAGTGACCCCTTTTAGTGGCCTTCTGACAAGCAAAGTCAAAGGGGAAGCCGGATTCACTTAACAACTGTGGAAAGAAAGGTCATAAAATGGGGACAAAACCCACTTAACAAATCTCTCCCTTTGGGCTGAAAAATTCAGAATTTTGTCAAGGCCCTGTTTTTATCAATCTCAATGTTTTTATTTTTTATTAAATCATGGTCTCAGATCTCTGGCTAAAAATCTGAATTGCATGAGCCTGGTTTCTTTCCCAGGATAGTAGAGTTGATTTTCCACCAGAGGAGTAAGACTCCTCCCATGGAGTTGGTGATTGCTGGCTGTGAAGTTCTGGGAGTTAAAGTCCACATGCCATAAAATTGTCAAGGTTGAGAAACCCTGGGTTTGTAAATAGAACAACACAGATCATAGGAAACTTTAATGAACTGTTTTGACTGAACTATGCCATGTGTCATGTTTTGTATTATTGAAGCTATTGTTACATATTTTCACTAGCAAACCATTCAATGAGAATGGATCTAAAGAACATCAGGAAAAGGAAATATAGTGAGGATTTCTTACAATATGGCTTCACGTCAATATATACAGAGGGAATTGAGAAACCGCTATGTGTACTTTGTTCCGAAGTTTTATCAGCAGAGTCGTTGAAGCCTAATAAACTTAAACGCCATTTTGAGAGCAAGCATCCAAGCTATGCTGGCAAGGATACAAACTATTTTAGATCCAAAGCTGATGAACTGAAGAAAGGCAGACTTGACACTGGTGGCACGTACCACAAACAAAATGTAGCAGCCGTTGAAGCGTCATATTTGGTGGCACTCAGAATCGCCAGAGCTATGAAACCTCACACCATTGCTGAGGAGTTACTGTTGCCAGCGGCCAAAGACATTGTTCGACTTATGATTGGAGATGAATTTGTGACGAAATTGAATGCAGTTTCCTTGTCCAATGACACTGTCTGCAGAAGAATAGATGACATGTCTGCTGATATTCTTGATCAGATAATCCAAGAAATTAAATCTGCTCCACTTCCAATATTTAGTATCCAGCTTGATGAATCTACAGACATTGCAAACTGTTCCCAGTTACTGGTTTATGTGAGGTATATTAAGGATGGTGACTTTAAAGATGAGTTTCTGTTTTGCAAAACTCTTGAAACAACAACTACTGCACCTGATGTATTTGACACAGTTGGTTCATTTCTGAAAGAGCATAACATATCTTGGGAAAAGGTTTGTGGTGTTTGCACAGATGGTGCTCTACCTATGCTAGGATGTAGGTCTGGATTTCAATGTTTGGTATTGAATGAGTCACCAAAAGTCATCGGAACTCACTGTATGATTCATCAGCAAATATTAGCAACAAAGATGCTGCCACAAGAATTATGAAAAGTAATGAAAAGCATCATAAATTGTGTCAACTTTGTAACGGCAAGCAGTTTAAACACACGACTGTTTTCACAACTGTGCAACGAGTTGGATGCGCCAAACAATGCTCTGCTATTTCACACTGAAGTGAGATGGTTGTCGAAAGGAAAAGTTTTAAAACGTGTTTTTGAGCTTCATGATGAACTCAAAACATTTTTTATTCAGAAAGCAAACCGCAGTTTGAAGCTCTTTTCAGCGATAACAGTGAACTGCAGAAAATAGCTTACTTGGTTGACATCTTTGCCATCTTGAATGAGTTAAATTTATCACTGCAAGGACCAAATGCAACGTGCCTTGATTTGTCTGAAAAGATCCGATCATTCCAAATGAAACTGCAGCTTTGGCAAAAAAAAATTGGATGAAAATAAAATTTACATGTTGCTTACCTTGTCTGCTTTCTTTAAGGAACATGACATTGAACCAGACAACAGGATTACGTTGATAAATTCTGTTAAAGAACATCTGTGCATGCTTGCAGATGAAACCTCATCATGCTTTCCAAATCTACTGACACCCTATTTGCACTTGCCAGAAGCCCACTCACAGTCAACGTTGAAAATGTTCCTGAGACAGCACAAGAGGAGTTCATTGAACTTATTAACAGCGATGCAGCGAGAACTGATTTCTCCACAATGTCAGTTACAAAATTCTGGATCAAATGTTTGCAGTCATATCCTGTTCTCTCTGAGACTGTGTTGCACCTTCTTCTTCCATTTCCAACAACATATCTTTGTGAAGCAGGGTTTTCCAGCTTGTTGGTTATCAAGTCTAAATACAGAAATAGACTTGTTGTGGAAGATGATCTTCGATGTGCTCTTGCAAAGACTGCCCCGAGAATTTCTGATCTGGTTAAAAATAAGCAACCTCAACCTTCACATTGATGTTGGCTTCTTACACATACTGTTGAAAAATGTAGCAATGTAGTTTACTGTTGTTATATTAAGACTGTTACCCATGCTACACCATGCTTCAAGACAAAATTTCATTTTTTGTAATTAAAAATAAATATTTAACAATATATAATTACATATTGTTTTGTGATTAATCACTATGCTTTAATTATGTTCAATGCAAATACATCCTGCATATCAGATATTTACATTGCGATTCATAACAGTAGCAAAATTACAGTTATGAAATAGCAACGAAAATAATTTTATGGTTGGGGGTCACCACAACATGAGGAACTGTATTATGTGGTCACGGCATTAGAAAGGTTGAGAACCACTGACCTAGAGGATGTATGCAAGTGTTACACGTGCATATTCTCTGTAAATAAACATTCTTTGTTCTTGCCAGACAGACTCCAGTATTATAGGCATCATAGCCTTGCTTCATTTTAACAGATAGCCCATCACTAATTTAATCTCGTTTGCATAGTTAGTTTGAGTTCCTGGTCTATTCTGCCATCTATTTGGAGATCGCTTTAGCCAAGTCTGATTTTAGAATGTATACATTGTTTTATGAATGAAACTTAGTTTCCTTAAGCTTTTTCTGCAGGCTGTTTTAGGGGAAGAAAGACTGGGGCTGCTTTCTGCCTTTGTTAAGGAGATTTTTCTGCTCTTCTCCTTTAGGGGAAATATTCTATTTTGCTTCTTTTCTTGTTCTGTGAAATATTTTATTTGTGAACTGCCAATCTTCTGCTTAACAAGAATAAAAGTTGAAGTAAAAAAAATCCTGAAAGAGTTTATCCAGTGTTTCATAAACATGAGAAAAGAAGAGAAAAGAAACAGGAACACAAAGTGATTCAAGGAAAAATTGTGCCCACATTTTTTTCCAGATGGCATTTCTTTCAATTAGAATGCACACAGGAAATCTTGTTTGTGAATTTTTCTAACCCAGAACACAAGAAAAAATGACCCAAGGAAAGTTGTGTAGAATCCATTGTAATTTTCATTTTCCATTTTAAACATCTGAGCAGGAATGACCCCAAGTCTACCTACAATGAAGAGAACTTGGCTCAGTGTATTTTTTATTTTTTTGCTGCTGGGACAGAGACAAGCTTTGCTACTCTGAAGTGGGCACTGCTCCTCTTGACAAATCATCCCAACATCCAAGGTGAGCAAAATTATTTGAAGATATTTGAAGGATTAAAAGCTATTGAATAATGAACTGAATCTACTCTTCATAATAATTTTCCTATATGGATTCTTGAATCTAAAATTATGAACACGAGTTTAGTGGTATTAAAGGAAAGCATAGAATCTACATAAGGAGATATTTCTTTGAAATCCTTAATAAAATATTGAGTGAGGAATTAAAAACTGAAGATCAGTACAAATATATCAGTACAATAACAACAACAATGGGAAACAGAATATAAAATGAAAACCCAGCTTCTATTTCCATCAATTTTTTTTTCTAGAGAAAGTCCAGAAGGTGATTGAAGATGTGTTTGGCTTATTGGGGTCAATTTCTTATCAGGATCGGAAGAAGCTGCCCTACACCAACGCTGTGATTCATGAAATGCAGCGTGTAAAGTATATCTTGCTATTTGGGCTTCCCAGGCAAAGCACAAAGGATGTGAAGATGAGGGGTTATCACATCCCAAAGGTGAGAAATGTATTCAGGCTGCATTCCACTGATCCAACATGAAAGGAAAAGCAAAATACAGCATTTGGATAAAAGCTCTCTATTCAGGAACTGCCAATGTAGTCATGCAGAAATGAATGGGCAAGAATAGCAAACTTTTTGGAGGATGAATTATGGGTTTAAATCCAAACACATCTCAGATTTTAAAGTTACAACCTTAAATGTTTTCTATTTATCCTAGGAAGATGGTAAGAGATTAAGGGCTATACTTAAGTTCAAAACTGTAATTATGCCTGACCGTGTTTTTTTGTCCATTTCTTGGGGCAATCTGATGTGATAAATATGTACCCAGATCTCTGTTTTAATGAAAGGGAGGGGAGAAAGGAAGCTAAACAGTGGAGAATCTACTGTTCGCAGAATCTGCTTTGGAAATGAACAAATAGGGGTCCATAAAGGCAAGCTAAAACCAAATGCTTTATTTATTGAATTATTTTGGCTGTTTCCCTTATGAAACTCCTCTGTTTAGTCATCTCTATTTTTACAGGGAAGCTTTATTATCCCAGACCTGCGCTCTGTTCTTCTTGATCCTGAACAATGGGAGACACCTGAAGAATTTAACCCAAATCACTTTTTAGATAAGGATGGGAAGTTTATTGAATGGGAAGAGTTTCTGCCCTTTGGAATAGGTACGTCCATGATTCAAAAGCAGGTTATAACAAATACATTTCTTCCAGAACTACTCCTGAGGTTTTTTTGGCAACTAATTGCCACAATTCAAACCTACTTTTTATGGTGCCGGTCAATTTCCACAGTTTGCTCACTTGCCCCAGCATCAATGATCTAATCATATATTAATCTATGAGAATCACCTGGATATAGTCTTCTGGGTATATTCCAATACGGAAGGTTGTAATCACTGGGCCTTGAAAGCCCAATGACAACTGATGGCCCAGAAAAATACATGGTCAATAAACTGAAAATAACTGAGGAAGGAGAATTGGCTCTCCCAACATCAAGTTTCTGGCATAGCTGATTTGCCGATAAAGCCCCAGGTGGAATGGTCAGTTTTATCCAAATGCATCTGGAGCTGTAAGACCATCGCTTCCTTGATGACCTGTAATATTTGAGGAGAGTCTATAATCATAAACCAAAATGTGATTCTTTTCTACTAATAAAAAGAAATTTATGAGTGTTGTTGAAACTGCTTGCACCATCTCCATATTTCACAAGTCAGAGAGGACTTCACAGTAAATGAGACATAAGATTCCTTTCCAGACCTATCAGGTACCTCGACCACAGTATTTGGTGTCCCTTCATCCCTGCAGAATGTGATCTGCAGAAGGTCCTCTCCAATTTCTGGAGAAGTTGATTTCCATCCTTTCAGAATGGCCTCCACATCTGTCCATAGCAATAAAAGTTATGCAAAGCTGGTTCTTTCTCATAGACAAACAAACTATCAAAGCCCAATAATAGCTGGGACAGATCCATGGCAATCATGGCCAAACTAACATCCTGGACTATTCCCGAATTGACCATCTGCCCATAAATATTAGAATTTCTGAGGAAAAGAAGTCAAAGACAGTCTAATGCCACAGTGGCAATTACTCTGATGGGACCAATCGAAAGGTGTCCCCGCTGAAGACTGTCAAAAAACAGAAGAAAAGGGAAGAAAGCAGCTCTAGAAATTGAATCTGTTAGAAGATGCTAGGATTCAAATGGAAATCTGCTTTGGCTGTTCCAAATCTTTTCAGATTTCCTTGCTGGTGGGGATATACTGTGCAGAACAGATTATTATTCCCTTTATGCTTTGTCTCATCTTCAGGTCAGCGTGCATGTGTGGGAGAGCAGCTGGCAAGAATTGAGACCTTCATCTTTCTGACCAGCCTGTTGAGGGCCTTCAGCTTCCGGTTGCCTGAAGGAGTGAAAGAACTCAATGAAGCCCCTATTGTAAAAATGTCAATGCATCCATACCCTTATAAACTGTGTGCTATTCCCACACATTCTTAAACTTAAACACTATAAAAAGCAGAACACTAATTATAGAATAGCTATTCAATATGTTGCTGAATAGGTGGGTTCATACAACATACCTTACCAGAACAACAAAAGACCAGAAAGCTATGTACGTGAAGGAAGTGTTAGAAGTAAGTCTTCATCCTGGTTCATCCAAGCCGGGAATAAATAAGCAACATGGCGACTGCTTTGGGAAGATGGTTACAGTTTATTGAAGAAGCAGAAAGATGGTTCTTGCAAGAAAGAGCAGAGGAGAGAAGGGCTGAGCACACGGGCAGTCGGTTTTTATACCCTTTCTAGCTTTCTGTTTGGAAGTTTCCTGTTCCTGTGGCATGAACTTTGAGGCTATTTCCTGTGTCACGTATTCTGACCTGAGCCTAGGTGTGCCTCTCTGGTATACTTGATGGTAATGGGTTAGTCCTATTATGTCCCAAAAGTCATATCCTGCTTCCCTGGGGCTGGGCTAATGACTCGGAGTTTGGGTGAGTCTTTAGTCTTTAGCTTTGTTTCCTTTTTGGTGCCAATAAAACATATTACTTTTCATGTTTTTAAAATTTCCCCCATAGGCTCCATGTTAACCAGCCAGAGTAAACTTCACAGATAGTCCAAAATGATACTCTGCTAGAAGGTATGAAATGCTGCTTACAGAATTAGCAGACGAAGAAGAAAGGGAGTGAAATCCATCCACATCCGAGGGCAGAACATCCACAAGAGCAAGCAATGCACTTTTTATCTCATACTTAGGGCTGAACCTGGACTTGATCCAAATATCAAGGGGCATGGGTGATCATACTTATACCCCTTAATACGTAAGTATTTCCTGATCATGACATATTCCATACATGGTCATATTCTATAGTTCCTTATTCTAACATAGGAATGCTATTATACATGGTTATAATCTATAGTTCCTTATTTTAACATAGGAATGCTTTTAGCAGTTTGCAATATATCACGTGCAAAGTTAAAAAAAGGATATTGGGCTGATCTGGCACTTCTAAATTTATGTGTTGTCTGGGAGACAGGAAACCTCCCTCTCACCCACAATTTCTGTTAGACAATCAGTATTTTTCCAGCTTCCCACTTTACTCCCCCCCCGTTGAGACTTATCTCAACCTTGCAGATGAGTCTCAACCTATAATGCTTTCTGTAATGCTTGGGTCTGCTGTTTGTATGTTATTGTATTCCTGGTTCCTATATTCCCACATAGCCATAACTTGAGCAGTTGCTTTTCTTTCTGCAAGTATTGACATTCGTTTTGGCAATGTTATGTTATTCATCAATGAAAAGGCACATTGCATGAGACAACAGCTACTAATCATAATAGCAATAAAAATGACCATTGCTTTTATAATAGTACCAATAAGACCCATTGGGAGCCAAGACCATAAGTTACTCCACCAACTTCCCAGGGAATCTATTTTCAAATCCAATGCCATTTTATGGAGCACTTTAATTTGCTTGTTTATAACTGGGGATTGGTCTGATAAATTAAAACAGCACATCCCTTCAAAGACCTCACACCCCATATGTTGGCGGAGCAAGAGATAGTCTATGGCTGCCCTATTTTGTAAAATCGCCTTGCGTAGTTCTACCATCTCCTGATTAATAGCAGACAAGGCTATTGATGTAGTATTTATAGTTTTAGCCAAATTACAGGTCACAGACTTTATATTGACATGAGCTCTAACAGCTAGTGCAGGAACTCCCACCAATGAGATAGCTAAAGCATTATATTCTGCAGCATTCAAAAGAGTATGAGAGGAGTCACGGTCCTCATCCAAAACCTCTCCCCTTTTGTAACGTGTGACATTGAAGGAGGTAAAAAGTGACCTATCTGGTAGAAAGGTAGTCAGTCTGCTTAGACAGCAATATGTTGTGCTTAGATTGGCAGGAATATAATTAAAAGTGTCTTTGCCACATGTAAAAAACCATCCCCTGGGCAACCATATGTTGGCATAACCAAAGGACACTGATTGGAAAGATGTGCAATTCAGCTTTTCTTGGCTTACCTTCATGCAATGAGGTAGGGGTGTACTTTGCTCACAGCTTGTAATATGTGCACATGGTAAATTTTCCCGAACGGCTACATTAGGGGTATGTAAGGCTAGAGCATCGGGTGGAAAAAACTTTGAAACGTGACCCCAACTATATAATGTTTCATACCCTATATGGCCTTTAAACACATAGTGACCAAATTCCCTGGCCACTGTGACTGGAACACACACCGGTACTAAATATGTGGACAGCAGATTCTCCATATTATATGCTTCAGAAAGGCATTGGGTTGTGTTGGCTATTTTAGCCAACTGGACCCACAAATTATATTGCATCCTTGACTCCAATGGATGGGGCATATCCTTATTCTGGTTGGACCTTTTACTCCTTTTTCTCTCAGGCTGCTTCCTTCGTGGTTTCTGGATAGTGACTCCAAACTCCACTGGAATTACACGTACAATACAAGTCCCCTTCCAAAAGCTCTCCTGTATCGCCTCTGTAATGAAGGCATAAGGATTGTCAGTCTCCCTAGGGTGCAGGGGCCACCTGTGGCATTTGCAGGGAGATAGGAGAAGGCTTTTAAGCCACATAAGAGGAACCATCCTGGGGGAAGTCTCATGTAACTATAAGAGAATGGGATTGTTTCTGTGTCATTGCATGTGAGGGATGTGTTGTCCAGATTAATGCAGTTGTGTACCTTTGGTAGGGAGCATCCAGTGAGGTTAAAACATTTCTCAGAGGTAGTGGTTGCCACAATGTGTAATGTGTACATTGTTTGCTCCTTTGTGTTAGAGGAGTGTCCCCAGTCAAAGATGCTGGAGTAGGAGTCAGAGAGATGAAAGTCCCTAAGCTCAGTGTGGTTAAAGATGGCATGTGGTCTAGATGCTACTCCCATTAGGCATATGGTCAGAATGTCCCTGACTGATTTTCCCCCCGCTAGACAGAAGTTGGTGGTGTTCAGTACCTCTGTAGGTAAATATTCCCAAATATTTCCTTTTTCTGGGTGTAAGCTGGGTTCTAGAAATGCTGATACAATGGGTACAAGCAAATAAATACATACAAGGTTATACAGTGTAATTCCCAATATCTTCTCCCTCCCCATCTTCAGAAATGTTAAAGAAAGCTGCTAGTGTCCACTGGTCTGTTTTAGGGTCTTTTCTGAGTCTTACAGGTGGAACTGCAGGTGTTGTGGATGTGGCTGGGCTTAGGTCCACCACAGCTGGCTTGACATGGGTCCAGTGGATTCAGGAATCCTTCTCTGCTACTTTGATGGCTGTGTGCGTGGTCAGCAGGATCTGGAAGGGTCCTAGCCACCTGGGTTGAAGGGGTGAGGTCTTTGTGAAGAACTTGATCCACACCCAATCTCCTGGTTCAAAGGAATGCAGGGCTTCTTCCAGGGGCAAGGTATGCGTCTGGACACTTTCTTTCCACAAGGTGTGTAGTCTCTTGTGTAGGGCTGTAAGATAAGCAGAGAGAACCATATCCCCCCTATCTAGGCTAAGGGATTGGGGGTCTAATCCTTTTAATTTGTCAGGAGGTCTTCCAAAAATAATCTCAAATGGGGAAAGTCCAATATCCGTTCTTGGTCTGGTCCTTATATAAAACAGGGCAATGGGTAGGACCTGTGGCCATGCGAGGTGGGTTTCCTGGCAGAGTTTGCCCAGGAGGGTCTTGATCATGTTCTGTTCTGCCTGAGGATGAAGGGGAGTAAGGACAGTGAAGGTTTTGGGTGATGCCAAGGGCTTGGAATATGTAAGAAAGGATCTGTGATATGAAATGTTTTCCCCTATCCATGTCTATGAAACTGGGAACCCCAAATCTAGGCACTATGTCTTTAAGGAGATGTCTGGCTGTTTCCAACGCTGTGACATGGAATCTTCGACCCAGTGAGTCAACTGATCCCTACATACTAGGGCATATTGGTACCCATTAGCTTTAGGTAGTTGGATGTAGTCCATTTGTATTTTCTCAAAGGGTCGTTGGCCCTGGGTCTGCCGCCTTCATGGATGGCTTTCCTGGAGGTGTTGTTGTTTGTCTGACAGGTTTTGCAGGTGCTGGCTATTCTTGTGGCCTCACTGTACATGCCAGGTGCATACCATACTCTTCTAATGGAATTTACCATGGCTTGAGTTCCACAGTGGCCTATTGAGTGCAATCTTTGGCAGATGAGGCGTATTAGGTGCCGTGGTGTTATGGGTCTGATCAGAGGTGAATAATTCTACCTCATATTGGGCCAGGCGTTGCTGTGTGAAAGCCTGGGTTTGTGATTTAAGAAGGATTACAAAGACTTCGTGCGGCACTTGTAATGTGAGTGGATGACCTAAGAAAATGTCTTTCGAACATTTGACTACTTCCACAGTGGCTGCTACCGCTCTTAAGTAGGGTACTGTCCCTTGAGCCACTGGATCTAAGGTGACAGAGTAATAAACTACTGGGTGGTGTGTGGGTCCAAACCTTTGGGTTGGAACACCTGAGGCAATGCCTTGTTTTTCGTGAATGAAAAGTGTGAACTGCTTTTTGTAATCAGGGAGACCCAGAGCTGGAGCTGATGTGTTTGTTTTATCAGTAACAGAGTGTGGTCCAAGGATTTTGACCAGTTAATGGGATCAGGCATTGTCTAAGTTGTGAGCTGGATAAGGGGCTTTGCTAATCCTCTGAAGGAAGGGATCCATGGTCGACAGAAGCTCAGCGCTCCCAGAAGGGCTCTCACCTGGCGTTTGGTGCGAGGCGGCTTCATGCCTAGTATGGTTTGGCTCAGGGCTAATTTCCTAATCCCTGGGCAGTAATGTAATCTAGGAAGGTGATTTCCTGTTAGAGGTATTGCAGCTTTGAGGGGGATGCTTTATGTCCCCTTTCAGCTAAGGATTTTAGTAGGTGTAAGGTGTCAATTTTGCATGTGTATTCAGAGTCAGAGGCTATAAGGAGGTCATCAACATATTGAATTAAGGTTGATCCTCCTTTCAGGGAGATAGAGGCGAGGTCGACTTTTAATATTGGTGAAAATAGGGTTGGGGACTCTATGTAGCCTTGTGGCAAGCGAGTCCAGGTGTATTGTTGTTCTTCCCAGGTAAAGGCGAAGAGGTATTTGGAAGAGGGGTCTACAGGGATGCGGAAGAAAGCTGAGAAGAGGTCGATAACTGAGGAATGGGTTGCTGACGCTGGGACTTCAGTGATAATGGTGGCTGGGTTTGGAACGATGGGGGCTCGTGGGATCACATGGTTGTTCACCAGACATAGGTCATGAACAAATCTGAAGACTGGGTTCCCTTCACTGTCTACCTTAGGCTTCTTTACAGGAAAAATGAGTGTGTTGCAAGGGGAGGTGCATTTCTTGAGAACTCCCTGTGCTAGATATGCCTCTATCAGTTTCCTAATAGGTTTGACAGCTTCGGCTGGGATCTTGTATTGTGGAATGCATGGAGGGGGGCCATCTTTAACTTGGATTATTACTGGTGTGGCCCCTTTAAGAAATCCGACTTCAGTGTTATCCCATCCCCAAAGGGAGTATGGCAAAGAACGCAGATCATCGTGTAAGAGTTCCCTGCTTACTACAACCAGCTGCAGACGTTTTGTTGGGATATCTAGGGTTAGTCCCGTTTGGCTGCAGGTTATGGTGGCTCCCAATTTGCAGAGTAAATCTCTGCCCAAAAGTGATAAAGGAGATTGTGGGCACACTGTGAAGGTGTGAGTCAGGGAGAGGGGACCTATTTCTACCTGGATATCTTTGGTAAATTACACAGGAATAATTTTCCCCCCTACCCCCATTATATTGTCAGTAGCTCCTGGTGTTACTGCTCCCTTGAAGGGGACAGTTGTGATGAGAGATGCTGTAGCTCCTGTGTCTATCAAGCAGCTGTATTGTCTTCCTCCTATCATAATGTCAAGCATGGGTTCTCCTTCAGGGCCTGTCCTTACGGGAATGCTGAGGCCGGTGAAGGTAGCTTTGAAATCAGTTTGTCCTTCGTCTAGTCACACAGCATGTGCATCTCTGGTGTTTGGTTCCCATTGGGGTGACCAGGAGCTCCACCTATTTCTGTATTGGGACTGGGGGTCCCTAGGAAAAGGGGGCTAAGGGTGGGTTTTCCTGGTACCAGTGTTGTGTCGTTTTCCCCACATTTCCGTTTGAAGTGGCCCTCCTCCCCACATCTGTGGCAGTGTGTGCATTTCATCCCATTTGTTCCTTCTTTAATGCATCGCCAGCATGTTAGCCTGAGCTCAGGAGGTCAGTGGTTGTTTTGCCCCCTAACCTTAGTGAGTTCTTTAGACCTGGCTAATTCTACCCAGCAGTACCAATAAGGTATTTGGCTGGGCTTAATTCTAGGCCTAAGTGCTTTCAGAGTGTGAAAATCAAAGGTACTGCATTCTGGCCAAATCTGTTTTCCCATGTCATCCCTCAGCGAAGCCCAATATTTGCATATCTCTCTTGCTCTTTGTTTCTTCATTCCAGCTAGGACAGGAATCTGTCGATCATCCCATGCCTCGAGCAAATCTCCTAGGGGAATCCTAATTGTCACCTTTGAACTGCCGCTTCCCATGTTCCCTCTCAGATGTGGGGCTCACTTTGGCTCAGTCAGGTACAAAAAAGGAAAAAAAAACCTGTGGTTTTTCAGATGAAAAGGCGTCCGGGAGGACTTTGGTTCCCTGACCAAGTACCTTTACCTCCTTCCCTGGGAACTATCTGTCACGGTATTCAGACTCCTCATGAGTCCAGGAGGACTTGCCACCTTTTTGAAAGGCGGTGAGTACTGACACCTCCTTTCTGCCACTGGTTTTCAGACCCCTTGTGGATCTGGAAGTACCTGCTGCCCCCTACGCAGTGAATACTGGTACCTTCTGAACTGGGCTTTGCTTTTGGGCTTTCACAGGAAAAGGGAAATGGCACACACAGACAAAAATTCCCCTCAGGGTAAATCTTCCAACACTAGCTATTTTTTTAATGTACTGGCCATGTAGTGCTTTGTTTTCCCATGCCTCTATTCTGTTCTTCATTTGGTCTTTCTTGTAGGCCAGTATGGTCTCTCCAGTAGTCAGTAAGCCTTCCTGATATACTAATTTCAGTGCATCTTCATCATTGTCCTTCAGATATTCTTCCAAAGCCACTTTTTCTTCTTCAACCATCTGATGTACTTGTAGCATTCCACGCCCACCTATTTCCCTTGGTAGATAAAGTCTATCAATGTCACTGCGTGGATGAAGGGCATGATTGTCATTTTTTCTGGTCTTCCTATCCATTGCTTTTAGTTCTGCTTGAATCCAGTCCAATATTCCAGCTGTGTATTTAATGACTGGAATTGCCCAGGTGTTGATTGCCTTCATGGTATTTCCTCCATTGAGTTTGGACTTTAAGGTCCTCTTCACTCTCTTCACAATCTTTTTCTTGACTTCAGTGTGCTTGATGTTGTCAGCTTGAAGGATACCTAAGTATTTGTGGTAATCTTCCTCATCCAGACTCTTAATTTTATTTTCATGGGGCATCTTGATTCCTTCAGTTTTCACTATTTTTCCTTGTTTCATAGTAAGTGTGGCACATTTGTCCAAGCCAAACTCCATTGCAATATCTTGGCTATATATACAGACAGTGTTGAGCAGCAATTCTATTTCAGATGATGTTTTTCCATACAGCTTCAGATCATCCATGTAAAGGAGGTGGGATAGTCTGGCAGATGTTTTTGATGTTTGATAGCCATGTCCTGAGTTATTCAGTATTGTTTACAGAGGAAACAGTGCAATAACAAATCGTAGTGGTGATAATGAATCTCCTTGAAATATTCCTCTATTGATGTTAACCTCTCCCAGTCTCTCACCATTGACCTGCAACTGTGTCTTCCATTGTGCCATCGATCTTTCCACAAATTTTCTGATGTTTCTACTGACTCCTGTTATTTCTAGGCACTTGATTATCCAGTCATATGACAGAGAGTCAAATGCCTTTTTGTAGTCAATCCATGCCACATTCAGGTTGATCTTCCTTTTCTTCTTCTTCTTCTTCTTCTTCTTCTCCTCCTCCTCCTCCTCCTCCTCCTCCTCCTCCTCCTCCTCCTCCTCCTCCTCCTTCTTCTTCTCCTCCTCCTCCTCCTCCTTCTTCTTCTTTGTAGCAGCAGCAGCAGCAGCAGCAGCAGCAGTATTGGTATTATTAATATTGGTATTATTAGTAGTATTATTAGTAGTATTATTAAGCTTGTTAGTCTTTAGCTTTGTTTCCTTTTTGGTGCCAATAAAACATATTACTTTTCATGTTTTTGGGAGGGCAGAGGTCAACCCCGAGGCCCCTTGAATGTGGCGTGCCACAGGGGTCAGTCCTCTCTCCCCTCCTATTTAACATTTATATGAAGCCGCTGGGTGAGATCATCAGACAGCACAGGGTGAGGTTTCATCAGTATGCTGATGATACCCAGTTATATATCTCCTCCTCGAGCTCTCTCAGTGAAGCGGCCGATGTGATGGGTCGTTGCCTCGAAGCCGTGAGGGTCTGGATGGGGGTTAACAGACTCAGGCTCAATCCTGACAAGACCGAGTGGCTTTGGATGTTGCCTCCCAAGGATCATGTCAACTGTCCAGTGTTGACTCTTGCAGGGAAAAAAAAACCCCTTCAGAGCGGGTTCACAACTTGGGTGTCCTCCTTGATCCACAGCTGAATTTGGAACATCAATTGACGGCTGTGGCTGGGAGGACCTTTGCACAAGTTCGCCTGTTGCACCAGTTGCGACCCTACCTGGACCGGGATGCTCTCCTTACAGTCACTCACGCCCTTGTCACCTCACGTTTGGACTACTGCAACGCGCTCTACATGGGGCTACCCTTGAAAAGTATTCGGAGACTACAGTTGGTCCAGAATGCAGCCGCACGAGTGATAGTGGATGCTCCTCGATAGACCCACGTTACACCTATCCTCTGTGAGCTGCACTGGTTGCCTATTGGTCTCCGGGTCCAATTCAAGGTGTTGGTCATTACATTTAAAGCCCTATATGGCTCAGGGCCAGGCTATTTGTGAGACCGCCTACTACCTCATTGTTCCCTACGTCCGGTTAGATCCCACAGGCTGGGCCTCCTTCGGGCCCCGTCGGCCAAGCAGTGCCATTTGGCGGGGCCGCGGAGGAGGGCCTTCTCTGTGATGGCACCCATGCTTTGGAATCAGCTCCCCCGGAGATTAGGACCGCTCCCACCCTGTTGGTCTTCCGTAAGCTACTTAAGACCTGGCTTTTCCGGCAGGCCTGGGGTTTATAAAACCTTACCCCTGGATGATTGTTTTTGTATTGTTGTTTGTTATGTTTTATGTGTTTTTTATTGTTAGCCGCCCAGAGTCCTTCGGGAGTGGGGCGGCTTATAAATTTTAAAAATAAAATAAATAAAAATAAATTTCCCCCATAGGCTCCATGTTAACCAGCCGGAGTAAACTTCACAGATAGTCCAAAATGATACTCTGCTGGAAGGTATGAAATGCTGCTTATAGAATTAGCAGACGAAGAAGAAAGGGGGTGAAATCTATCCACATCCCAGGGCAGAACATCCACAAGAGCAAGCAATGCACTTTTTATCTCATACTTAGGGCTGAACCTGGACTTGATCCAAATATCTCTTTCATCAAGATCCTTCTGTAATTACAGCCTAATCATTTTCAGATTTGGCCATGGGTTACACAGCTGGGGTGGTGACCCAATTGTTAGACAGATATTGCTAAAACTTTATTATGCTTGGATTAACCACACAACCTTTTAATTAATAAGATGCCTGCTGCTTTCTCAGCTGTCACCTCTCATAGTGTTGTAGAAATGAAAGACTTGAGTCAGCTCATTTGGGAAAGGAAATTTTATTTATTTATTTATTTATTTATGAGACTTATATACCGCTTTAAGTGCAAGCACTCTCTAAGCGGTGTACACCAGTAAGCAATGTATATATATTTTACATTGCCCCAACAATCTGGGTCCTCATTTTACCTACCTCGGAAGGATGGAAGGCTGAGTCAACCTTGAGCCGGTGAGATTTGAACCGCTGACCTGCTGAACAGTCAGCTAAAGTGGCCTGCAGTACTGCACTCTAACTGCTGTACCACCTCGGCTCTTATGGTTTATTGTGCAGGTTCAGAGAGCTAATCACAGCAAAAAGGGTCTGAACCCCAAACAGGGGCATGGGTGATCATACTTATACCCCTTAATACATAAGTACTTCCTGATCATGACATATTCCATACATGGTCATATTCTATAATTCCTTATTCTAACATAGGAATGCTATTATACATGGTTATAATCTATAGTTCCTTATTTTAACATAGGAATGCTTTTAGCAGTTTGCAATATATCATATGCAAAGTTAAAAACAGGATATTGGGCTGATCTGGCACTTCTAAATTTATTTGTCATCTGGAAGACAGGAAACCTCCCTCTCACCCACAATTTCTGTTAGACAATCAGTATTTTTCCAGCTTCCCATTTTACTCCCCCCCCCCGTTGAGACTTATCTCAACCTTGCAGATGAGTCTCAACCTATAATGCTTTCTGTAATGCTTGGGTCTGCTGTTTGTATGTTATTGTATTCCTGGTTCCTATATTCCCACATAGCCATAACTTGAGCAGTTGCTTTTCTTTCTGCAAGTATTGACATTCGTTTTGGCAATGTTATGTTATTCATCAATGAAAAGGCACATTGCATGAGACAACAGCTACTAATCATAATAGCAGTAAAAATGACCACTGCTTTTATAATAGTACCAATAAGACCCATTGGGAGCCAAGACCATAAGTTACTCCACCAACTTCCCAGGGAATCTATTTTCAAATCCAATGCCATTTTATGGAGCACTTTAATTTGCTTGTTTATAACTGGGGATTGGTCTGATAAATTAAAACAGCACATCCCTTCAAAGGCCTCACACCCCATATGTTGGCGGAGCAAGAGATAGTCTATGGCTGCCCTATTTTGTAAAATCGCCTTGCGTAGTTCTACCATCTCCTGATTAATAGCAGACAAGGCTATTGATGTAGTATTTATAGTTTTAGCCAAATTACAGGTCACAGACTTTATATTGACATGAGCTCTAACAGCTAGTGCAGGAACTCCCACCAATGAGATAGCTAAGGCATTATATTCTGCAGCATTCAAAAGAGTATGAGAGGAGTCACAGTCCTCATCCAAAACCTCTCCCCTTTTGTAACGTGTGACATTGAAGGAGGTAAAAAGTGACCTATCTGGTAGAAAGGTAGTCAGTCTGCTTAGACAGCAATATGTTGTGCTTAGATTGGCAGGAATATAATTAAAAGTGTCTTTGCCACATGTAAAAAACCATCCCCTGGGCAACCATATGTTGGCATAACCAAAGGACACTGATTGGAAAGATGTGCAATTCAGCTTTTCTTGGCTTACCTTCATGCAATGAGGTAGGGGTGTACTTTGCTCACAGCCTGTAATATGTGCACATGGTAAATTTTCCCGAACGGCTACATTAGGGGTATGTAAGGCTAGAGCATCGGGTGGAAAAAACTTTGAAACGTGACCCCAACTATATAATCTTTCATACCCTATATGGCCTTTAAACACATAGTGACCAAATTCCCTGGCCACTGTGACTGGAACACACACTGGTACTAAATATGTGGACAGCAGATTCTCCATATCATATGCTTCAGAAAGGCATTGGGTTGTGTTGGCTATTTTAGCCAACTGGACCCACAAATTATATTGCATCCTTGACTCCAATGGATGGGGCATATCCTTATTCTGGTTGGACCTTTTACTCCTTTTTCTCTCAGGCCACTTCCTTCGTGGTTTCTGGATAGTGACTCCAAACTCCACTGGAATTACACATACAATACAAGTCCCCTTCCATCCCATTTTTAACTGCGAGACTAGGGTGACTTGTTCCCAACCCCAAAATAGAGGAGGCCCACATTCCAAGGTTACAGGAGGATGAGGCTTCTTATAAGGGGCCCTAACACATATGCCTTTCCTAAGGATATAACCAGCATATTGACAGGCTTCTGGGTTGACAGGTTGTCTAGTAAGGAAAGCTTCTTTAACTATTCTGTCAAACACTAATGGGAATTGACAAGGATGAGGCAAGATACCGTTCCAACATTCTGGTGAGAAACCAATGGGAGGGGGGGTGACCATCACAAGTGCCAGTGCCTATAGCATAAGATTGAACAATACTGGGAGTGTCTTCCGGCTTGCTCCATTGGCCTAGATTAAAGAGACAAACATGATTACATGCAACAATAGTACTATATAAAAGCAATAATAATCTTTCCATCCTTTCTTCTCCCGTGCGTAGAAAGCCAGCTTCTGGAGTGGTTTAGCAGGGGTGTTGAATCCAACCGAACAGCCGTAGATATATATGCAGGATATACTTGTACTACTATAATATCTGTTATACAAATAATAAAATATTCATTAAAAACATTTAAGAGTAAGCTTTGTAGAGACCTTTGGGTCCCTAGTTACTGTCCACAGGGGATCTGCTGCTGCCTTGATTCTGGTCCAATGGATCCAGGACTTAGATTCTGCAATTTTTATTGCTAAAGGAGAGGCCATTATTATCTCATAAGGCCCTCTCCATCTCCCTTCCAGCTGTTCACGCTTCCAATTTTTCACCCACACTTTATCTCCAGGTTTAAAGGAATGACATCTAGTTACCAACCTAGGTGATGTTTACTCAATAATGTAATTTCTGAGTTTTTCCACCTGCTTATTCAGTTCCTGCACCATTTCCAGAGTCCACACTCCCCCCTAATGGCCCAAATCAGGCCATCCAGCCAAGTTTCTTTTCAGTAAAGTAGGAGGATGCCCAAACATCAACTCATATGGAGACAGTTTGTATTGTCGACGAGGAGCACATCGCACAGCATATAGAGCTAAAGGCAAAGCATCAGGGCATTTCAAATGACTTTCAGCACAAATCTTAGTAATTTTCTCTTTCAGTGTCCTGTTCATTCTTTCAACGTTGGCCCCTGATTGAGGACAGAAAGCATTATGAAACCTCCACTTAGACCCCACTGCAGTAGCCACTGCTTTACTGATTTGATGTATGAATTCAAGACCATTGTCAGAGGAGATGAAGGAAGGACAAGCAAAGCGAGGTATTAACTCTTTTAACAGCACTCTAGCCACTTCTCTGGCCTGTTTAGTCTTTGTAGGGTAAGCTTCTGGCCATCCAGTGTATTTATCTACAAACACCAACAGGGCTTTGTACAATCCACATCTAGGCATGTCTGTAAAATCAACCATAACAGGGTCCATAGGAAAGTACAAGGTAGGTATTGTCCCAGGTGGTAAAAGGGGCCCTTGTCTAGGATTGACCTTAGCACAGACACCACATTGTGAAACCACTCGAGCTGCTATCCCAGCTAACCCATTTACATAGTAATCCCTTCCAATGGCTTCTTCCAACCCTGTTTTTCCCATGTGTGTAGCTTCATGAGATGCCTGAACTAAAGTCCATGCTGAAGACTGTGGGACAAAAATATGTCCATCGGGCAACAAATACCACCCATCCTTAATAGCAGCTTTAAGATCATTCACTGCTTTCACACATTCCTGCTGTGAATATGTTGGCTTAATGACAGGGGGCAGGACCCCCAAGTCCATTGCAACATATATTGATAAATCTGGTGTAGGTCCTGTTCTTACTGCCACCTTCTTAGCTTCCAAATCAGCCTTCCGATTTCCTTGAGCCACCTTATCCACCCCCAGATGATGCCCTTTACAATGCATAACTGAAACCTTTGCTGGCTTTTGTACTGCATCAAGAAGATGCTTTATTAAGTGTCCATGTAACACATATTTACCAGCAGAATCCCTAAATCCTCTCTCTTTATACACTGCACCATGAGCATGTAAAGTCAAAAAGGCATATTTACTATCTGTCCAAACATTCAAAGTCTCCCCTTCTGCCATTTCCAATGCTCTGATGAGTGCCCACAGTTCTGCTACTTGAGCACTATAGCCAGTTCCGAGCGGACCACTCTCCACCACCTCTGCATCATCCACAATAGCATATCCAGAAACCCTTTTGCCATCATGCATGTAGCTAGAGCCATCTGTATACCAATTCAAGGCAGCATCCGAAAGAGGAATATCAGATAAATCCGGACGGCTTGAATATACAGTCTCTAACACTTGTAGACAGTCATGCTCTGATTCAACTTCTGTTGGCAATAGGGTGGCAGGGTTCAATCGATTAGATACCACCAATTTTACTTGTGGGTTTTCAATCATCATTGCCTGATACTTAAAAAGCCTTTGACTACTGATCCACAAATGTCCTTTGTTATCCAGGATAGAATGGACTGCATGAGGGGTGTGGACACTTATGGGACATGAGAAGGTCAATTTATTGCAATCCTGTAAAAGGATTGCTATAGCAGCAAGAACCTTCAAGCAATGTGGCCAGCCTTGGGCTACTCCATCCAATTGCTTAGATAAGTAGGCCACCGGATGTTGCCACTGCCCCAATTGTTGAGTCAGCACCCCCAAGGCAACATTCTTCCTGGTGTCCACATACAAGTTGAAAGGCTTTTCTAGGTCAGGCAAAGCTAAGGCTGATGCCAATGTGAGGGCTTGTTTCACTTCCTTAAGAGCTCTCCTTTGTTCTCCCTCCCAATCGAAGGGCTCTGCATCACTCCCTTTTGTAGCTAAATAAAGAGGTACTGCTAATAAGGCATAATTTGGTATCCATATTCAACAAAATCCTGCCAAACCTAAAAAGCCCCTTAACTGTCGCCTATTTAGGGGTTCAGCAATAGCTAATACTGCTTGCTTTCTCTCCCAGCCTAAAGCGCTATGCCCCTCCTCAATGTCATATCCTAGATACCTCACCCTCTGCTTAACCAACTGTGCCTTCTTTCTGGAAGTCCTATAACCGCACTTCAGCAACAAATGTAAAAGGACCTCTGTATTTTCCCAACACGTCTCCTCTGTCCTACCCGTCACCAGCACATCATCCACATATTGCAGAATAGTGTCACCCCTCTGCCGGGGCACAAAATGCTGCAAATCTGCTGCCAGGGCAGTCCCGAAAAGGGATGGTGAATTTTTAAAACCCTGTGGCAGTCTAGTCCAGGTGTACTGAGCCTTTTGCCCTGTTTTTGGATTTTCCCACTCAAAAGCAAATAAAGGCTGATTAACCTTATGGATGAGAATCGTGAAAAAGGCATCTTTTAAATCTATAACTGAAAACCATTTTGCAGTTGGAGGAATCAAGCTCAACAATGGGCACTACCGGGTGGATCGTGACAGTCACAGAATTTATGATTCTGAGATCTTGGACCGGCCTAAAGGAACCATCTGGCTTCCTTATAGGTAAAATAGGTGTATTCCAAGTTGATTGAATAGGTACCAAAATGCCTGCCTTCAAATACTTCTGGATGCTCTCATGTATAGCTGCTATAGCCTCATTGGAGCAGGATCTCTGCCTAATATGCACAGGCATTGCTAAAGGTTTCACTTCCACAATCACAGGGGGGTGATGGGCTGCAAAACCAGGGGGTTATCCTCAGCCCATAGCCCCGGTACTCCAAACTCCCTCCATTTCTCTTCCAGAACTTCCTCCTCAACAGATCTATTAACCATCAGTCTCCACATAGCCTCAGGTTGATGTTTTATCTGAAGCGTTTGTTGTCCATCATCAAAGGAAATAGTTGCCCCTAGCTTGCTAAGTAACCTAACAAAGGCACTGGACATTCGGGGACATATAAGAACTCGTGTTGGATCTTTGAGCCTTTAAACACACAAGTTACAGGTTTATTTATTTATATATTTATTTATCAGACTTATATACCGCTTTAGCGGTGTACACCAGTAAGCAATATATATATGTATATATATATACATTGCCCCCAACAATCTGGGTCCTCATTTTACCTACCCCAGAAGGATGGAAGGCTGAGTCAACCTTGAGCCGGTGAGATTTGAACCGCTGACCTGCTGAACACAGTCAGCTAAAGTGGCCTGCAGTACTGCACTCTAACTGCTGCGCCACCTCGGCTCTCAGTTGTAGAACTGGTCATCCTAAAACCTGTCCCAACATTCCTTGAACTTTTATTTTATGGGGTCCTATTTTAGCAACCTGACTGTTCACAACAGATCTCCCTGCTCCAGTATCCACCAAAAACGTTGTCTGTCGACCCCCTATGTTTAAAGTAACCAATGGCTCAGGGGGCATCTCCTCTAAGCCAGGTCCCCATCAATCCGTCCAACCAGTCCCTGCCAATCCAATCCCCTCAATTTCCCTTTCTCTACTCCAGTCTCTTGTATACCCTCAAGTCCTTCTCTGTCCTCTGCCTACTCCTCCTCTCCAACCTCTTCCTCTCATCTGCTGCCTAGGACATTCCCTTTGCCAATGGCCTTCCTCTCTACAATTAGCACACTGATTAGGTCCCAGCACAGTCCCTCCTTGCAACGCCACAGCCAATAACGCTATCTTTTTATGCATTCTGGCCTCTTGCTCCTTCTTTTCAACCTTATCCCTGTTAACAAACACTTTCCTGGCTACTTCCAACAGCTCTGTAGTATTCTTCCCTAATGCTCCCTCCAACCTCTGCAACTTCTTTCTTATGTCATCATAGCTCTGTGCTATGAACCTCTCATTCAACATCCTCTCGTTATCAGCACTCCTTGGATCAACCTGAGTATAGAGCTCATAAACCTCAATCAATCTTTGCAGGAAACTCTCCGGACTTTCATCTGCTTCCTGCATTATAAAAGACGTCTTTGACATATTCACCGGAGGCTTTCCAGCCTTGCAAAGAGCCTCTACTACTAAATTCTGATATTCCTTCAGCAATCTCATCTGTGGTGGATCCTGTGCATTCCATTCTGAATCCTTCTTTGATGCCCTTGTATCCAACTCTGGCTGTATATCCTGTACAGCTGGCAATCTATCTCTCAAGCACTGCCTTACAGCAGCCTTCCACTTTTCCCTTTCCTCGGGAGTCAACAAAGTATCTAACAATTGCTGTATATCCTGCCATGTCAGATTATGAGTTTGCATAATAGTCTGAAATAAACTTGCCATCTTGGCGGGTTTGGAAGACAATGGACCATAATGTTGTTTCCAATTTAACAAATCTGTTGTAGTGAAGGGAACATACTGAAACATGGACTGAATATGTACTGCTCCCTGCTGGCCTGGCATTGCCTGATCCACCTGCCTCAGGGGACCTATAATTCCGGTCTGGCAGCCCCAGCTCTTGCAGCTGCCGATCTTGTCACTACTCCAGTAGCCTCAACTATTCCAGCTTCATTCTCCACTTCATCCTCCCCACTAAGTTCCCCCCTAACATCCACAGGGAGAGCTGTCTCCTCTGGCTCCCTTTCTTCCTTGGGGACCGATGGCTTCCCCCTCTGTCTCTGTCGAACAACTGGTTGCACATTACCAGATACAGCAGGAGCAGCCAGCAGCCCTTCCCCAGGCACAGCAGCTGCTGCAGCCGCCACTGGGGGCATGGGGGAAAGGCGCGGAACATATGGAGGGGGGTCTAAGGATCAGTTCCTCTACTTCCACCTTTATCTCTTTCCTTGCATCTGACACCTTAGTCTCTGAGACCTTCACATCCTTGAATCTCTTAGACTCAACCTGTAGCTTCTTCCCTTTTGATCTAGCCACACACAAACAAACCATTTCAGCCTGACATTGCAATAACTCATCTGCTTGCTCTGCTACTGCACCCCCCCCCACTGATCTATATATTGAAATTGTTTAGGGTAATTTTCCTCATTGGCTGCTATCAGGGAAGTGAGATCATCAATGATTTGATTCTTAAAAGTTCCCTCAGGAGGCCACCCCATATCCATGTGAGGCCATTGGTGCTCACATAAAAACTGCAGCCTATCCCTAGTTACCTTAGGGTAGGGAACCTTATACTGGGTATGATTAAAGTACTTATCAAATCCTTTTAACATGCATTCCAGCGGTGTGCTGGGAACATTGCTATGCCCCCCCCCATCCTAACACACTGCCAATGACCTACAGCGCCGGACGTTCCAATGGTCACTACTAGGAAATCCAGTGGCTTAACCACCCACACAGCTTAACACGGACTTCTTTAGGACCACTGTCCCAAGTCCAGGGGGTTTGATCAGGCCCCCTCTTCTATCTTCGAGTGAGATAGGTACAATTAGTTTAAACACATACTCGCCTGCAGTGTTGTTACATTCGTCCTGGCCAGGAGCTGGTTCAGACCTCCTTTCCTTTCCCCAAGTGTTCTTGGACTGCCTCTCAGCACTGTCGGCTCTGCTGACAAGCCACAGCTGTCTCCTGGAGGAAAACACCCCCGTGGCACCTGGAGAATTGTTCAGAGATGGCTTCCCAGCAGGTCCGAAGGGTCAAGCCGCCCTCAGTGAAACATCGCCTCACTCAAGTTTCCCGGCCAATGCACCAGAAACTGTTGTAGAAATGAGAGACTTGAGTCAGCTCTTTTGGGAAAGGAAATGGTTTATTGTGCAGGTTCAGAGAGCTAATCACAGCAAAAAGGGTCTGAACCCCAAACAGGGGCATGGGTGATCATACTTATACCCCTTAATACGTAAGTATTTCCTGATCATGACATATTCCATACATGGTCATATTCTATAGTTCCTTATTCTAACATAGGAATGCTACTATACATGCTTATAGTCTATAGTTCCTTTTTTAAACACAGGAATGCTTTTAGCAGTTTGCAATATATCATGTGCAAAGTTAAAAACAGGATATTGGGCTGATCTGGCACTTCTAAATTTATGTGTCATCTGGGAGACAGGAAACCTCCCTCTCACCCACAATTTCTGTTAGACAATCAGTATTTTTCCAGCTTCCCACTTTACTAGTGCATCTTGGAAAGAGACATCTTCTTTTGCAAAAATCGTCTGCTGTATGTCTCTGCTCCTCAAACCGCATACGAAGCAGTCCTCCAACATCATGATGCTCCCATGAAGACATTCCATCATTAGAAAAGGAAACAAGTGAGATTTTCTTTTCCATGATAATGTCCTGATGATGGCCTTACAAGTGTATGCACAATACACAATCCTGGACTAGATAATATCTCTTGTGAGCCACAAGATTCTCCTTTCTATTCAGATAGACTTTATGGATATATAATGTACCATGATATTTTAATAATTCTGACATAATATCATAGCACCATCCAAATCAGAATATCCAAGATGTCAACGCTGCAAATATTGTATATTCTTGCTTTTGACAATATGCAGAATTGTCTGGTAATTATGGGGTTAATACAGAGCAGAAGAGGGGGGGGGTTGGCAGTAAAGCCAGGGAAAGAAAGAAAACATTTGACCTTCACACTAATTGGATAATGTGAGATATGATGGCTAATTTAGGGAGGGAACATGCTGATAATTTAACTGCTCAGAGGAAGAGAACTTAGATCCTAGCAACCCTCCATTGTGCCTGTGCCGACATTTTGTAACAATAAAAGATTTTTAGGAAAATAATGCCTGGAAGTTCTTTGAAATGTTTCATTAGCTGGAACCATAACACAAGCAGTTCAAATGGTTATATAGATTTATTTGAAGTGTAACCTCTCTACAAGAATGTGAACTACTAACAGCCAAAGCAAATTAGCAGTAGGTAAGAGTCACAGGAATTCAAGGCCGGCTGGATTTAGATCTCTTGTGGGCATGAAGGGACTTATGACTGATGATGCATTTGATCTCTCGCTTGGGCTGAACCTGGTTATCTTCTACAGGCCTATTGGGTTATACAGCCCTTGTTTTTTTGTTTCTTTTCTTTTTTTAAAAAAATCTCTTCCTCTATTATTTGAGTGACATATGGTCAGAGGTAATCTCATTAATGTAACATAATATAAGAACAACTTGCTAACAAAATACCAGTACTAGACAAAGTATCAAAAGACGTGTTGCTATTTGTTTCTAATCAACACAGTATGTAAAGCAGGAAAAAAAAGAAAAAAATAATTAAGGAAAAAGGAAACCACCCCCTCCACATTGACAAGGAAGCATTAAAAAAAAACAACCCACAAGGCAATAGTGGTGATAAGGACATTTTTATTTTGCTGCTTGTTCTGCTGCTTGTGCTCTTCCTAAAACAACTCTGCTCCTGAAGACATTTGCCTCCTGGTCCTTTGGCTCTACCTCTCATTGGGACCTTCTGGGCTGATGAGTTTTGGCTTCGTGAAGATTATTTCGGTAAGGTATTTCATTCTATTTATAATTAACCAGTAATAAATACGATGTCTTTTTATAGTTTTCTTTGTATCAAAATTAAGGACAAGAGCACTAACCTCAAAATATTCTCAGATAACATGGAATCCAATGAATCAAGCGATAGTGGTGACACTTGATTAATTATTTTCCTCATTGTACCAGAGTTTTCCAGCTGAGACCTGCTGGCCACCATTTCATAGAGCAGGATGTCAAATAATGGGGATGATTTTTTTAGAAGGCGGATTCTAGTTCTGTTTTACAAAGAAACCTTTGATGATGGAACCAGTTCACTAGAGAGTGGGTTATTTCTCCTTTACTCAGATGAGGCTAACCATCCATTTGTTGAAGAGTATTTAAGTTGTATTTCTGCAGTGAACAATCAGTTGAACGTGAAAGCCTAAATGGTCACTTCTAATTCTGCAATTCTGTAACAATGAAACAGCCTGTTGAGGACCTTCAGCTTCCGGTTGCCTGAAGGACTGAAAGAACTCAATAAATCCCCTGTTGTAAAAGTGACAATACATCCACACCCTTATAATGTGTGCTATTCCCACACATTCTTAAACTTAAATCCATAAAAAGAGCAACACTAATTATAGAATAACTATTCAGTATGTTACTGTTTTCTATATACCTATCCACTTATGTTTTGATTCCATACTTAAACATCTTCAACCCATTGATGGGTTCACACAACATACCTAATCAGGTCAACGAAAGACGAGAAAGCTATGTATGAATTGGACGCGAAGGAAGCTTGTTACTCTTTATCTTTGTTTCCTTTTTGGTGCCAATAAAACATATTATTTTCAATTTACTCTTAGTGTCCCTTCTGTAGTTACAGCCTAATCATTTTCTCTCCAACCTTCCCCAAAAGCATAGGATTTGGATTTTTTGGCAGTACAAATTCTGCTTGAGGATCTGTGACCATTCTAGTAAACTTTTTCCTTTCACCAGGACTATAACATTAGAGTCTGGGGAAATTAATGTCAGGTGCAAGCAAAGAGATCCACAGGTATAGAGTTCAAGGTAGCTCCTTTATTTTCTGTCAATTTTACAGGAATCTGAGCTGTTGGTTTGAGCTCCGAGCTTGGCAATTTGGTTGCAAATGTTTGGTTGCAAATGTTTTGTCACCATTCGAGGAGACATCATCAGTGGCCTTTGAATAATATTCAAAGCACATTTCCTACAGGAATCTCTCCAGATTGCTTTCCTTTTCTTGGAAACAGAGAGATGGGGTTCTCCGGAGGTAGTGGGTGGATTGATCCTCAAGAAGAGATTTAAGCAAAGGTCACTTTCAGATTGGGCCATGGGTTACACAACTGTGGTAGTGAGCCAATTGTCAGAAAGGTATTGCTAAGACTTTATTATTATCTACGTATACTTTGATGCTTGGATTAATCACACAACCTTTTAATTAATAAGAGCTACTGTAGAATCTATTACAACAGCCCTTCCTTATTAGCAATTTGTTTTAGTTTTAAAAGGCAACACAGATCCAGAGATGGTCCTCCAACATCATGATGCTTCCATGAAGACATTCCATCATTGGAAAAGGAAACTAAATGAGATTTTCTTTTCCATGATAATGTCCTGATGATGGACTTACAAGTGTATGCACGATACACAATCCTGGACTAAATAAAATCTCTTGGGAGCCACAAGATTCTCCTTTCTATTCAGATAGACGTTATGGACATATAATGTACCATGATATTTTAATAATTCTGTCATAGTACCTTATTAGCAACACTGTCAAGCACCATCGAAATCAGAATATCCAGGCAGTTCAAATGGTTATATAGATTTATTCAAAGCGTAACCTCTCTACAAGAATGTGAACTACTAACAGCCAAAGCAAATTAGCAGTAAGTAAGAGTCACAGGACTCTTTCCGGTCCTTTCACTCAAAGAATCAACATCTCAGCGCCATTTTTCACCACTCTTAATTGAAGGAAGGAGAAGATAAATTCTTTTCCGGAGTTAAAGTCCCGAAATAATCCCCATTTTAATCTCTCCTGGTCAGCTCTGTCTGCTTTAAATTTTACTCACAAATTCATTTTAAGCACAGATGTGGAAGCAGTGTCTAGCTTTCCCTGGAAAAAATCAGGGCAAATGCATCCTGGAATGTGGAGAACACCCCAGACTCCGTGGGGGCTCTCACCCTCTGACCACCAAAAAAAAAAGCTTTGGGTCTCGGGGCGCTCTACCACTATCTGAGGAAAGCTCACCTCCTCCCCTTCACCCAGGGAGAGAGGTTCCAAGCTATGGGACAGCTGTTGCTTGCTGTCTCAGCTGGCTTTGACACATCCCAGGGCGGATGGCTGACAAAAGCCGCCATCGCCATGGCTGTCGCCACCAGAAGTCCTATTCAAAGTTCTTAACATATTCTTATTTTCCTTTTCATACTAAGATATAATATTCTGATTACAAAACCTAACTATCTAGTTATAATAATACTTCTTTTTCTAACAATCTATTCTTAACCATATTAAAACCTCTAATTAATAATATAGCATTCCCTCTAATAGGTCAAAGCTTCTGTTTCCTTCAATCTTACTCTAGCTTTCTTTCTTTGCAAACTAACTTTCCAAGTCAATGCATTTGGATCATCAAATAATTCTTCCTCTATTTTTGTATATATTATTTGGAACAAGAGAAACAATTTTGTTAAAGTGTTTTTGGAAGAGCTAGCTCATTGATATTCATTAACCCACCTCCCTCCTTCTCCAGTTCCCCACAGTTCTGTTAACGACTTTATCTTCCATTCCATCAGCTCTCCTTCCTTGTCATCCAGTATTTTCTGAAACTTTGGTTAATAAAATGTCTTTTCTGTTGTATCTTCTGAGTTTTCCTTTATCTGAATGTGCTCATTAGTTTCTTCCTTTATATCATCAATGTTTGTGTCAGCATTCCCTAGTTTTCCTTCTATTTTCTGGGTTGCTGGTTCCTTCTCTGTAGTTATCTTCTGAGTTTGTAGAGTTAAATTAGAAAATTGTTCTTTTATCTCCTTTGTGTTTTTATTAACCTGCTCCCAAGCTATAGTAATTATTTTTTGTATTAATTTAAACATGGAATTTCTTTCTATGTTTCATCAGTATTTTTTTTTTTTTGGTGATATGGCAAGTTAAGGCTACTGGGAACAGATGTTAAAGATGGTGTTTTACTATTTAATGCTGAGTATGAAACATCCATTTTATTTATTTTTTTATAAGTAGCCTTTATAGATTTATCCAACCAATTGTCCAATCCTGAGTTTCCCCTAAGCAGATATAAGTAAAATCCAAAGTTTTCTGTCCAGTAAGAAATATATTCTTTCTGTCCAGGAGAAAAGAGAACCATTAAAGGTTGTTTATCAATCAAGATTTATAATCCAAAGTGTTCCATATGTTTCTTCTACAAAAAAATAAATCCACAATACAGTTCTGAAAGCCAGTATTTATGTTTAAAATTCAGACAGGCCAAATTTAGAATGTTTATCATCTCTGCCACACAGATAACGAGGGGAAAAAGAAAACATGTGGAGCCCAGGAACAAGGACAGACACAAGTTTCAAAGAAAATAAAATCTTACAAAGATTCGTCTCTCAGCTTGTGCTCAGAAAGAAACACATCAAGACTAATTTGATTGTAAAGAGTAAAAAGAATTTTAAAAATACGGGGACACCATATACAGTAAAACACAGTATCATAAAGAATAGCTAGGTCTGATTTCTATTGGGTTTAATAATAATTCAGAGATGGGCAATTGTCCCTGCCTACGCTTTAACATGGATCATTCTCAATGTGTCCCTGGATTAGACAGCTGGATTGATGACATAATTGACAAGTAGGTATTGTGAAAGTACTTATCATTTTCTCCCTGTAATTTAATATTTGGATTAAGCACAGAACCAGGAAGAGCTACTGGAGGCAGCACAGATCTAGATATATTTCTCAAACCGTGTGATGCCCTCGTTAAGACATTTCGTAATTGGCAAGGGAAACTGAGTGAAATTTTCTTTTCCATGATAATATCCTGATGATGGGCTTCCAGATGTGTGTATGAAACATAATAATGGACTACGAGATGATATTTTTGTGATCCAAAAAATTCCCCTGTCATGGTTCCGACAGATGAAACTCTCCAAAGAACTTTGAGGCATTGTTTACCTTAAAGAATCTTTATTCAAAAATCACAACATTGGCACTAACATAATCAAAGCCAAAAACTGAATTTCCCTCCCCTGAGCACATAGTATCAAAGCACAATTCCCTCCTTCAATTAACAGTCATAAATCACATTCCCCAATTAGCTTGAAGCGCGGGCCCCCTCTCCAGTTCTCCATCCCGCCAAGTCCTTATCAGCTCTGGTTACAATAACCTTGCTTCTCACACTAGGTCTAGTGTTATTATGTTCACATTCCCTCTCTCAGCATCATCTAACTCTAAAAGCAAAAGGTAAAAGATGGCTACATCTCTATTTGTTGTCAATGCAGAAACGTCCAATGTTAGCAATGTTGATATCTCTTTTTTATTCAGATAAATTTCATGGACATGTGCTATACCGTGATTCTTAAGTAATTTTTAAGTAATTCTGGCATAGTATTATGTTAGGGACAGATTGGATTACACAGCCCGTGGTTTTGAAAAAAAATCTCCTCCTCTACTGTTTGAGTAACACATGGTCAGAGGTAACCTAATTAATATAATAGCAACTTGCTGACAAGATACCAGCACTAGATAAAGCATCAAAAGATATGTTGCTATTTGTTTCCAATTAACGCAGTACATAAAACAGGTAGAAAAACAAAACACTTCAGGTAAAAGGAAACAACCACTTCTGGATAGACTAGAAAGCATCAAAGAAAAACAACCAGCAGGACAATGATGGCAATAGGGATATTCCTGCTTGTTTTGCTGCTTGCTCTGCTGATTCTCCTCTTCCTGAAACAACTTTGGACCCGAAGACATTTGCCTCCCGGTCCTTTGGCTCTTCCTCTCATCGGGACCGTGTGGACTGATGGGTTTTGGCTTCATGAAGATTATTACCTTAAGGTATTTCATTCTAAATAATTAACCAGTAATAAATATGATAATTCTCAATTGTTTTCTTTGTACCAAATGTATGGACAAATTCATGTCAAAAATATTTTTACACAATGAGGAACACAATTAATCTAGTTATAGTGATTACATTTGATTAGTTATTTTTGTCATTATGCCATAATATTCAAGCGGAGACCTGCTCACCAGCATTTCACAGAGCAGGATGTGAAGTAATGGGGCTGAAGTTTTAGAACTTTGAACTGTAAGATTACTTTGGGATCCTAGAATAACAGACGAACATCAAGATTGTATCCTTGGAAGGAAGTACTATTAGGCTTTTACTTAAACTAATGCAATTCCAAGCAACAATTACACAGAGCAGAACAAAAAGAGGGGGGAGGGGAGAACAATTTATGACTTGGGAATGTTGTTCATGACTGTCTTCCAAGAAACACAAGTACATTTTTTACTTCAGATTTTCTATCTTTCTCTGGAACCAGAAAAATTGGCTCTGTCACACTTTCTGACTCCTTGTGAGCAAATTGTAAATGGTAGCAACAAGAGTAATACACATTCACCAGGATACATTTGTCCTTTGTTGAATATGGCCTCTTTCTCCAGAGAATGTTGTAAGGCTCCCTATAGTCTGAAAGGGGGTTACTAGGTTCTTTTTTATTTTGAGCAACTATTAACTTACAGTTTTCCTTCATAATATTTGCATATCATCTTTCTTAAGGAAGTTAGTCATTTTTTTAAAAAACTACTTTCCCAATAGTATGTATGGAGATACTTCTGTTCTTGTAGTCAATCTTAATTCAGGTTGTAACCCATCAGATGAAGGGAACAAACAGACAGCAGATGGTGGATTTCAAGCAGAAACATAGGAAAAGGAATATCCCAGGAAAATAAAGAAAAGAATATAAGACATTCTTGGCAGGAATCTTAGAAAAAATCGGTTTCTAAAGAGTTGAGAATTAGCTATAGTGAAACATGCTAAAATTTAGGTTTTAGGAAAGACTGTAGGTGTCAAATCATCTGTAAATAATCTGTTTATTTGATTGTAATGTAGCTTATCTTTGATTCACTTGGTAGCATGTAAAACGATATGGAAATGTACACTCCATGTGGCTTGGACCTTACCTTATAGTTGTCCTGTCTGGATTCAAAACTGTGAAAGAAGGAATGACAAGCTTCCAAGAAGAGTTCGCTGATCGACCAAATGATCCTTTCTTTGATATTTTAGGGAAAGAAAAGGGTAAGTGCAAATAGTGAGAAACTGAACCTAAGTTATCATCAAACTCTTCCAATTTCGGGTAACATGATGCATAGAATTGTTGTAATCAACTTCATCATATTTTGGTTTTCAACACCAAGTGCTGAAATATGTGTGTGTGTGTGTTTGTGTGTGTTTGCCAAAGACATAGCCCAACTTTTTCTAGCCCATGTCTTTCATTAACATGGCATGCTCTCAGCACTCGTGTTAGACAGAGGCACACAATTCCAATCTAGATTTTGGAAATCACTTTTCCACCTACTAAATGTCAAAGGCAACTTCTCCTCACCTCACCATCCTGCCACAAATGGGGAAGCTGAAAAAACTAATCAGCTCCTACACCCATACTTGAGGTGCTCCTGTATCTACCGCCGAGAAAACTGGCCAGTGTCACTGCTACTCACTAGCTCCTTCAGAAGAGGGGGAGGAGGATTCCTTTGAGACTGCCTCCCTCCCACCCTTGCCAAGTTCCCATGAGAATAGACTTTGCAGGACAATGCATGAAGAGGAAAACAGCATAGAAAATACACGGAAGAGGAGGGGGCAAGATGGAGGGATGGGTAATGTAGGAGATGACCAAGCTGAGCCCAAGGGAGGGGTCAAACATGTGAGTCCCTTCATGAGTCCCTTCATGTTCAGAAGAGATCTAAGTCCAGCCCACCTTGAATTCTTTCTACTCCTATCTCCCACTAATTTTCTTTGGCCATTAGAAGTTCAGATTCATGTAGAGAGCTCAACCTTACAATAATTTTTTATACCCATTTGAACTGTCTGGATCTCCTGATTTTCCTGGCACTCAACAATTATTTTAGAAGCTTTTGATTTCCATCATATAAGATATACTGTAGGTTGGCAAACACTGTCCCCATGCCACATATATCTCCCAGTGTCCATATGAATTCCAAAATGAATAAATATTTTTAAAGAAAAAATAATATGGACAGAAACTTATAAATTGGCTGCATGTTACAAATGTTTGGTATTTCCAGCCAAGAGATATTTGGCATAACTAAACCTAATCCTTTTTAAAGAATCATTTATCACTTTCTGCTGATGCCCTCAGGAATCCTTCTTTCTAATGGCCACACCTGGAAGCAGCAGCGACACATCGCCATCACCTCTCTGAGGAAGCTGGGCCTGGGAAAGAAAAGCATTGAGCATCAAATAGAAGACACAGCTCAGACATTGGTGGAGTTCTTTAGACAAAAAAAAGGTCTGTAATTTGGAGTAATATTATGGCTCAAGTCCCTGAGTGCAGAAATACTTTTCATTCTGATTATTTCAAATAAAAACATATTTATTTGATTTGATTTTTAAAAACTGATAAAGTTCCCAATTCTCTTCCTTCATCAGTGTCCCAAGTTTATTAGACAGGGGACATAACAAGATGAACTGACTCTACTTCTACGTTAGCAGACTCTTGCAAGTTTGAAAGTACAAATCTCCCACAGTTTCTTTTTACTGCCTGATAAGTTGATGGGATCCTTTCAAAGTTTCTTTCTCTGCCTGTTATTCAGTTGTGGCCTCCTGAACATTCCCTAGACAATGCTTCTTCCCCCACCTGTATTCCAAGGTCATTCTCACATTCTATTACATCACCTTAAAAGTCCTGTTCTTTACTATTAACAGTTAACAGGAGAATCTAATTTCACTATTAAATACCTTCATTTGCAGGACAGCCATTTGACCCATCACTTCTGGTACTAAATGCAGTTTGTAATGTCATATGTGCTTTGAGCTGTGGACATCAATTTGCTCCTGAAGAAGAAAACTTCCAGAAACTAACTCAAGCCCTTAATATTTTTTTTAATTTCACTGGTGGCATTTATCATGTGGTGAGTCATATTTTCTACTAAAGCGACAATGCCCTCCAAACAAATTATGTTTTCACTATGGAAATATAGTTCATGGAATCATAAAATGGCATGGAGGAAGCCTGGGAAATCATCTAATATGTTCTCCTCCCCATTTATATGTGTGCTCATGAATCACTCAAGACCCCTGGTGATTGCCTAGACCATGGAGGAGGAGGTCTAGACCATGGAGGAGGCTGGGAGCCTTCTCCTGTGGCTCCCAGCATCCTCTGCCATTTGCAGAGAGAGAGAGAGGGGGGGGCACTTGCGCTTCCCTTCTCTCTCTCTCTCTCTCTCTCTCTCTCTCTCTCTCTCTCTCTCTCTCTCTCTCTTTCTCTCTCTTTCTCACTCAGTGGGGGAAGAGGACTGGCACACCAAGGGCAGGAGAGAGCCAGCCCAATAAAAATGTGTGTCAGCTTGTTGGAGAACAGGGTGAATCCAGCTTGCCAGGTGAGCAGAGAGAGAGAGAGAGAGAGAGAGAGAGAGAGAGAGAGAGAGAGAGAGAGAAAACTCATGCATAGCAGCCTCTATTTCTTTTTAATTAAACTCTTCAATCAAGCTGTAGTGCTGTAATTTGCCAGTAGATGTCATTTGCACCATTTTCCAGCTTTTTAAATCGAAACTTATATTTTGAATCTCTTTTTTTTAAAAAAAAAGTCTCAAAAGAACTTTTAGTCCCCAAATTTCCAAGCTAAGTCCCATTCGTCATCTTCAGGCTGGTGTTTTCAGCTTCGTGCTTCGAGGAGCAATGTGTGGTCTTCCTTTTAATTGCCAGTGGGGGTATGAACTGATTGGGTGGGAGCTTGGCTGTGTTCTGATTGGGTGGAGGTGTGTTCTGATTGGTTAGGGGCTTGACTGTGCTCTGATTGGCTGGGGGGTTGGCTGTGCTCTGATTGGCTGGGGGAGTGTTCTGTTTGGTTGTGCTCAGGTTAGTCTGAGATGCAGGGGGGGGTTAAGATTTTGGGCTGCCTTGCTATTTTTTGGCTTCGCGTTCGTGGTCGTGCCTCATCTTCATGGAGGGTGTCAGTTTGCTTCATGTATGGATTGGAGGGGTTTAAAGTGGCTAATGATGCAGCTGTGGTCTGGCTTCTGGTTTGTGGTTGTGCCTCATCATCGGTGTGGCTTTGGGTTTGCTTTTTGCGTGGATGTGTGGTGGTGACATCCTGTGTGGTTTTTGTGAATGTGGGTCTGGTATCATTTTTTGTGTTAGGGAGTTGTTTGTCAATAAGGGCGGGTTTCCAAACAGCTGGTAGGCGGGAGGTATCATCTCGCTTGTTCATGCTGTGTGGGCGTTTTTCTATCTCGATGGCTTCTCTGATTATTCTGTTATTAAAATGTTCACTTTTGGCAATGGTTCTGGTATTTTTAAAGTCAATTTCATGTCCTGTGGCTTTAAGGTGTTGGACCAGGGAAGATGTTGGTTCCTCTTTTTTGACTGAGTTCTTATGTTCTTCAATGCGTGCACTTATTCTTCTGTTGGTTTGTCCGATGTATGTGGTGGGACAAGTGGTGCATGGGATTTCGTATACTCCTTGATTTTCTAATTCAATTTTATCTTTGGGGTTTCTAAGGATGGTGGATATTTTTCTGTTTGTGCAGAATGCTGTTTTGATGTTGTGTTTATGGAGGATCTTACTGATTCTGTCTGTGGTGCCTTTTATGTATGGGAGGAGGGCTTTGCCGTTTTCTTGTTCTTTGTCTTGGATTTTAGTGGGGGTTTCTTTTTGGATTAGGTTTGTAATCTTATTTCTTTGGAATCCATTGGATGTTAGTACATTGGTGAGAGTGTGTAGTTCGGTTTTTAGGTGTTGTTCGTCAGCTAAGCGTTTTGTTCTGGAGATGAGTGTCTTGGCTACAGAGTTGATCTGTGCTGGGTGGTGGTGTGAGAGAGCGTGCAGATAGCGGTTTGTGTGTGTTTTCTTCTGGTAGATGGTGTGTCCTAGGGAGCCATTGGATTTCTTGTAGACTAAGACATCCAGGAAGGGAAGTTGGTTGTTAGCTTCTGTTTCCATGGTGAACTGTATTTTGGGGTGTAGGCTGTTGAGGTGTGTGAGGAAGTTGTCCAGTTTTTCTTTCCCATGTGGCCAGATTATGAAGGTGTCGTCTACATATCTGAGCCAGAGTTTGGGTTTGTGATCCGATTTTTCTAGAGCTTGGGTTTCAAAGTGTTCCATGTAGAGGTTGGCAATGACAGGTGAGAGGGGTGATCCCATGGGTGCTCCTTCTGTTTGTTTGTATTTTTGTCCATTATAGATGAAGTATGTGTTGGATAGGCAGTGGTTGGTCAGATCTAAGATGTGTTTGGGGGGGTTATATTTGTTTTGGATAGCTGTCAAGGCTTCTTTGATAGGCACTTGGGTGAAGAGGGATATGACATCGAAGCTCACGAGTAGGTCGCTGGGCTGTAAGTTTTGTTTCTTTATGATCTCTATAAACTGGAATGAGTTTTTTACGTGTGAGGTGATGGATTCTGCATAGGGCTGTAGTTGTTTGGCGAGAAATTTGGCTAGGTTTTGTAGAGGTGAGCCTATGGAGCTGACTATAGGTCTGAGTGGGGTTCCTTCTTTCTGTATCTTGGGGAGACCATAGAGTTTGGGGCATCTGGATGATTTCTCTCTGGGAATGATTCTTTGCTGGATCTCTTCGCTAATGGGGGAGGCTTTTATTTTGGATCTGGTGGTTTTTTCCAGGTAGGTGGTGGGATCTGTATTTAGGGGTTTGTATGTGGAGTCTTGGAGTAGGTTGGTTAATTTGGTTTGGTAGTCAGATATATATATATTATATATATATATATATATATATATATATATATATATGTTTTCTGAGGTTTTTGCGGGTGTTTGTATGTAGGTCTTTGGTTATTTGGGTTTGGCAAAACATCGCCAAGACTCTTCCAATTTTACACGAGAGAAAACCTGAATAACCAAAGATATATATATATATATATATATATATATATATAATTTTGAATATAGGAATCCCAGGTATGGACATTTAAAGTCAATCAGATAAAAATAAAGAGCTCTGGGATGTAAGATAAAAGGCTTTTTTTATTAATTGCTGAGCTTTCGTTAACAACCTGTTAACATCATCAGAGTAAAGGGCTAAATGAGAAGGGGGAGCATGTGCATAAATTTACATAACAGTTTAAAAAAAAACGGTTGAAGTGAGGCATGTGCACACAATGTGCCCAAGAAGCTCTTTAAGGCATAGAGCAGTCAGTCTCAAGACCATTTTAAAAGTCGCACTTGTCAGCTGTTTGGCGCGTAGATCCAGCATGCCTTTTAGCCAGCCTCTTGGATTGTATAGTTTGTTTGGTGTAGGGTTGTTGTGTGTGTGTGTTTTGTTGGGTACGGTTATTTGGAATGTTTGTGTGTGTTCATTTGTTATGCTTATTAGTTGTGGGTGGTTTTGTGGTGTTTGGGAATTAGGCTGTAATATTTTGTTCCATTGAATGTGATAAGTCATATTTCATTGCAGGGGGGAGTTTTGGTCTTGATCTTAATATTCTGTGGTTACTTAGGTGTTGTGTGTGTATGTTTTGTTGTGTGTGAGTATCTTGTGAGGTTGCAGGATTTATGTTTTGGATGTTTGTGTCCTGGATGTTGTGGTCAGGGGGGTTGTTGTTTCTGTGTGTGAGAGTATCAGAACATGGTGTGTTGGTTGTGTGAGTTGTCATGGTTGTATTAGAATTATATTCTTTAGTTAAGTTTGATGAAAAGGATTGTGTTGTAGAAAGGATATCTATTGTGTTGGTTTGGGGTTCGATAAGTGGGTGGGGTGGTGTTTTTGTGTTATTATTGGTTGGGTTGAAGTGTTTAGGTATTTTATGTTTTTGTAAATGTCTTTTTAGTGTTTGGTAAGGAGGTAGTAGGTCTATGTGTCTATTAATAAAATGACAGTCTGAAAACCAAGCTTCTTTTAAAAGACGGCCTCCTTTGGTGGAATCATGAGCAATGACTTCTGCTCCTTTAAAGTTGAAAGTGTGGCCATGCTCAGCTATAGGGGTCCAGACTTGGGAGCGTTGTTCTTGTCTTCTTACTGCCAAAACATGGTTTTAAATCTTTTTGATGTTTCTCTAATGTAGTTACATTGGCATGTGTTGCAGTTGATCTTGTATATGATGGAGGACAAATCACTGATTGGTAATGGTTCTTTGGGTCGCATCAACTGGGAATGTAACGTTTGGATGGGTTTATGTGCTATGTTGATATTGTATGGGGCAAGGATCCTGACGGTTGCTTCTGAGACTCCTGTCACATGTTCCGACTAATGAAGCACTTCAAAGAACTTTCAGGCATGTTTCCTAAAGTCTTTATTTGCAGAGCTACAATTTTTGCCGGTCACCATGTTGGACTGGTTAATGCCAGAATCTGAACTTCCTGTCGCTGGCATCAAGCTTTCCTTGCTCAACCCCTCCCTTCTCATGCAGTCACAGGTCACATTATCCAATTAGTGAGAAGGTCAAACGTTTACTTCCTCTTTCTTTCCCGGGCTTTTTCCCCGCTCAGTCTAAGCTAAGTATTAACCCAATAAATGCCAGACAGTTTTGCATATTGTCAAAGCAAGAATATACAGTATTTGCAGCATTGACATCCGGCCCCCCTTACAAGAAGGACAGATCCTGTAAGGAAACAAAAGCATATGTTAAGGGTTATCTTTCGGTTTGCTGGGGTGTTTCACATGAAACTTTTCGATCAATCTGTCAGCGTTCACTTCACTAGATTTCACCCAGGTGGCTTCAGACAATGGGTATCCCTTCCATTGTACCAAGTACTGTAATTTCCCTTACTTTCAGGTAGGTCCACTATAAAGTCCATAGCTATTTTTTCCCAGGGTTGAGAAGGGTCTGCCACGGGTTGCAGTAACCCAGGAGTTTTCCCCAGGATTCTTTTCATTGTAGCACATACAGTACAACTTTTTACATAGTTTTCCACATCCTTTTTCAGCCCCGGCCACCAGAATTGCCGGCGGGTGAGGTG